CCCCTTCCTTTGAGGCGTCGATAAGCAGCGGCCTCGCGCCCTGTGCTTTGTTGTTGACCAGAACATGAGGCAGTCGACCTTCAAGATCGCGAAGTGGGAAGGACTGCGGTACACACTTCGACGCGTCCAGTAAAGTCGGCTCGGCTACTGTTCTTGACTTCCAGCGGGAAAAAGAAAAGGTAGCACCAGATATAACCTGTACGTATACATATCAAGATGTCATTAGTCGAGGACAAGTTAGCTGTTGTAAAGTTTCACTTTTAACGCACGCGTGATTTCGCGCTTGCTAAGTACAGAAAAGAACGCCAACTTAGCTGCCGCGGTGGTATACGGTCCTTCGGGTCCGTCTGTGGACCCGAAGGACCTCCGTCCCTGCCATGGCAGTCGCTTTTCGATCCAGGCGCAAGGCTATAGGGCCTAGTGCATCTTCGATCTAGGTACAGGTTAAAGAACCTGAAAAGGCTGACATTTCTGGATCCATCTACTGCGGCGTTTATCATAATCATACCGTGGCTTTGGCACACGTTATTATTCAATTAACAATTCGGACTGGTCAAGGATGCTAGTAGTTAGGCTCTTGCGATGAGCCGCTCATAAAAATATGTTCGAGGTTCCCAAGCCAATTAACGAGTAGGCAAGCAGGTCGGCCGTTCCTCAACATATACGTTTCCATTAGGCTCCCTTAGGCAACATATAGATTTCCTATAATGCATCTGTCTTAATTAATACACGTTTTCTTGTAGAAACGTTGACTTCATCCTTAAAAATCATATGCTCGTCTATTGCCCATCACATCAAATAGCTATCTTCCTTCTAACTTTCACCTTAATCTTTTCCGAAATTTTGAAACCGATTCGGATTCCAATTCAGCTGAGATCAGAATCTTCTCTCCACAGCGGACGGCTCTGTAAGTCAAGGAGATGCTAAAATATAAGCCTAGCACACGATATTACTTGGCCGTGTGCAGATGGTAACTACTGGAGGGAGCATTCTTTTTCTTTACTAATATTTGGCTGTGCGAAATGTAACTTGGTAAAATCTGGCTTGTTTAAATAGGCGTATGGCTGTTTTATCATAGCTTACAGACGCTAAACAGAACCGCGAACGTGCTCATTGATGCCTCTGCAAGCGTTTTTCTCTTCGATATTTCTTGCATATATTTGCAGCGAGAAGGGAGCTAGCCGACTACATCGACTCAACTCGAACATGGACAACGCTACATCGACAACAAACATTTGTGACGAGGAGGCGTCGACACGGTAAGCTGCCCATACCAGATGCTGTCAACACTGTATAAGTGAGCGGCGGAGTTCGCTGCACATTGCTCGCGTCGTCACACCACTGACAGGGCACTGCTGTTGGCAAAGGCGTAGCGTATACAGACGCTATCATAACCAGGGCCAATGTTTCTGTGTCAGAACACCCCCAAAATTTTCCCAGCGCTGCACAAACCGCTCTCTCTCTCTCCTTTCGGGAAAATAAACGTCCTTTACGAATCAAGTCCGCTAACTTCTGCGTGCACTCGTAAACACGCGTTACAACAAAAGAAACAACTATGCCACAGAAAAATGATTAATATCGTTTGGGTGCAGACTTTTTTTCTTTGTTTGTGTGTGTAAAACCTCCCGTATAACACCCCGAAGAAATATTTCTAGTTGCGCGTCTGGCTGGTGGCACAACTTCAGTAGGGAAGAAGTTTGGGCGTGTTGGTAGTTCATCGTATAAGTATTGCAGACACGATAGCAAAAAAAAAAAAATGAACATGGGGTAGGGTGAAGACGTGGACTAGTAGCGCTTGTTCTGTACCCACCTTTTCTCTTCCTCCTTTTTTTTTTTCTTTAGCGCAATGGCTTCTGCAGTGCGGTGGCACTACAAAAAGTGGTGTTCGCAAAGAGCTGTAAAAAAAAAAAAAAACTAACTTCATAAAATACTTTCTATGAGGCCGGTTTTGTTAGAACCAGTGTAAGAAATTCTCGCATTCTATCTTGCAGGTCCAACTTCAAAAATCCCCCTCAAAATACTCGCATTTCGTGAAAAATACGCATCAGTCCCAGCATTTCTGAAGTGCCACTTCTAATACTGTATTCTGACGAAATTTCCTTCAGGCTGGAAGCGTATACTTCTAAACAAAACTATAGCAGACCAATGCGAAGAAAAAATATCTAACACGTTTCGGTGCACGACGCGGAATACTAGTTTACGTACGCGCAGAATTCTCGTGTGGCGAGGAAACCAAACGACGTCTTAAATCCGATGCACATTAGGGCCTCGTCTTGTCATCATCCAATGTCGTCACGAAATGTCATGTATTTACGGTTCATCATAAAAAAAAACGAGTATGCACCACAAAAATGGGGTGAATGTCGCTATACTTTCCACTGGTCAACTAAAGATGAAGAAGAGAGCAACTATCCGAACAAATTTACAACGACGTTAACGGAGCTAACATCCTTTCCTACATGCCGTTGAGAATTGAAGTTTGCCATGCAAGAAAGAAAAAAAATGGCAGTGGCTTAGCTCAGCTATGCCAGGATATACGTAGCGTTAGCAAAGGTTCAGCTGATTATTCTTAGCTTTCCAGAGTGTCTAGGATTAGCTTGATTATCATGCTTACTGCTGCTGCAATGACACACACACGACATACGTACTATGTGGCACGTATATTTTCTGCTCAACGTCCAGGTAGCTTCTCTATTGCCACAAAGACGGCTCGGTGGTCAGTGAAGTCACACGCTGCCGTTATAGCCCCAACACGGTATTTGGAATTGTCTGTCTTTCTGTGATAGCATAGCAGGCCATGACGTCACTCCTTTGAAAAGCTCTCCTGATTGTCTAGAATTAGCTTGATTATCATGCTTACAGCTGTTCTGATGACACACACACGGTATACGTATTATGTGGCACATGTATATTTATTTTGCCGGTCAACTACTTCGGGATACGATGAGTTAAGCTTCTCCGCTCTACTGCACCGTTGAGCAGCATTTGCACTCTCCTTCTCCATGGCTATACCACAGTGGCAAACGCCAGTCAGAAGCGCTATCAAGCGGCTACAGCGCAGTGTCAGATGGCGACTGCACAGGGAAGGCGCACGCGTCGGCGTCCATATGTCTACCAAGGCTATGACGGCACTCCTCTGGAAAGCACACACCGGTGGCGGCGAGCCACGCGCGGCCGCGGCTGAGTGCGAGGGAGGTGCCGGCTACGGTGCGTGACACCACTGATCGTCTGCGCAGCGGCATCGAATTGCGCGCACACCGGCGGCGAGCCGCGCGCGGCGGCGGCGGAGTATCATTGCGCATGCGCAGACCAGTGCAACGCGAAATTGGCTCAGCGAAGCCAGTGTAGCTAACGCTACAAAATTGGCAGATCCCACGTACAATGGGAATCGACGATATGCGAAGCACGAATGAGGAAGGTTGATATGTCACTCTAGAATCAGCAAAATGTTACGAGGTGGAGGTAAATTATGCCGTTCATCATTTACGTGTCATGATTATCATGTTTGCACCAGTCACATACCTTCGTCATCCATTCACATACCGTAATACCAAATTTGGTATATGTGACGCTAGCGAAACAGCCGCGAGCGCATCATGAGTGTGGAACGTGGCCATGTTGTTATGACACGCATGTCACGATTTTCATGTTAGGGTCGGTCGCTTGTGTTCGGCATGCAATCATGTCATACCATAACAGTTTTGCAACATGCCATGTGAATGAAACCACCGCAAGAGCTGCAGGACCATAAAATGTAAATTATGACATTCATGACATACATGTCGTGATTTTCATGTTATTGCTAGTCAAATATGTTCTTCATACAGTCATATTATGCCATACGAAGTATGGTATCGATACTATTATCGAAACGGCCAGGAGAGCTAGAGCTAAATGTCGTAGGCGGTTAGATAGATAGATAGATAGATAGATAGATAGATAGATAGATAGATAGATAGATAGATAGATAGATAGATAGATAGATAGATAGATAGATAGATAGATAGATAGATAGATAGATAGATAGATAGATAGATAGATAGATAGATAGATAGATAGATAGATAGATAGACGGACGGACGGACGGACGGACGGACGGACGGATGGATGGATGGATGGATGGATGGATGGATGGATGGATAGATAGATAGATAGATACGCTCAAAGTCGCCGATGTTCGCTAAGAAATGCTTCCCATTTAAAAGAACCTTTAGTTAATCTCTCAATTAGTAATAAGTAATTTCTTCTAACCATTTTATAATTTGTTAGATTTACAAATTATATGTGATCCCCTCTATCTAATTACTTGTCTTTTGGGCAATCCCCCAGAGTGGGTGTGAGCCAGGCATTTAGGCCATCATCATCATCATTATCATAATCTGCATGCAGACACAGTTTTTTGACGACCTTTTAAGTGAAGCGGAAACACAATTCCGTACACACCCGGTTTCAGGCTTGGCACACGCCAGTGCCTCATCAAAGAAATATCTCTCAAAAGACTGCACGCTTCGGCCCTCCGCCAGGTTCCACGTTCTCTGAAACACCGTTCTCTGTATACTTCGCCCCTATTATAAGAAAATATATACAGTTTCTTGATAATCATCGGCACCGATTACTACCATCAAGGGTCTAAATATCCACACAAAATGCATGCTCCTCGAGCAATTATAGAACAAACTGCGCAGTTTCAACGGATGACCTAAAGAAGCTATACATAAGTTAATTAACAATTACATCGGTTGAATAAATGACAAAAGACTACCAGGCACTAACTGATCTTCGTCACGGATAGTAACACGTCGATGAAAAAAAAAAGTATATACGTTATTGGTTCTACTGTGGGCGATTTTCATTTCGTCCACTAACTCAAAGTGCTCTATCCTTAGTTCGCAAAATCGTACCCGATCTTTTCCTCTTTTCAAATACTCGTGTTCGAAGGGTGTCACCTTTCGAACAACCTTGATTTCAGGAACCTCTCACGCGGTATCTGGTTGCGCGCGATGCCTGTGAAGTGAGCACCGCAGTCTGTCCGCTCGGAGTCTTATCGAACGCAGGGTAAACAGAGGCCTCTCGTGTCTTTCGAGTCACCCTCACAGTCCGTGAGAAAAAAAAAACGACTCTAGGCATTGTATTTTTTCGTGTCGACGACAGCACTTACGTTTCCCAACAGTCCACGATGCATCCGTTTTTCTTCGGTATACATCACTGTTTTTTTTTTTTTGATACATGATACGGTGGACGCTCATTTTCGGCATCGTTGTGGTTTTGTCCTTGGAAACACGCGGCTATTGTTTCACTGCTTGTTTCATTTTTCCCTCTCCCTCTTACTTGTTTCACCCGCAGGAGACGCACTAGTCCAGGGTCCAAGTTTGTCGCCCTCGTCAGTCGGAATAAACGTCACCTGGCCCTGGCGTTGGCGGCCATCTTAGTGGTCGCCGTCGTCGCCGCGTCTGTTCTAGTCACAGTACAGAACACCCAAGGTACGCTCGCTGTGTGCAATGCGCACCCTAACCAACCTGCCCACTCTCGGTGGTTACAATATATTTAGAAGGAGCAGAATACAAGAAAGAAAAACACCACAGCACCTTTCTCTGAACGTATTCGGCAGACCAAGTTGTGACGGTCCGCAAGATCGTTGTCCGTTTAGGTCCGATAATGGAGTCAACTAAGTTGTGACGGATATTTTTCACTGTTATGTTAAACAGACAACGAAATAAGAATAGCAATCTGAACTTGTGCGGTATACGCCGTGAGTAGCTGACTACTATGAATACAGTGAATACTTCGCTAGAGGCATTCGGGAGATAAAAAAAAAGCAATAATTCGGATAATAGAAAGCACTTAGTAGTACATTGCACTGTACTATAATTTGGGGCATGCCTCACACCGACAGTTTCAACAGCAAAAAGTAAGTTGTGTGCACCTAAATTACCATGTGATCACGAGACACGCGTAGAAAGCACGTTGTCGGGACTCCTGATTATCTTTTACCGCCCGGGCTTCTTTAAAGGCGAGGTGCGCCGTGCTTCTGCGAGGTTTGTCGGTTCTTCATAACCGAGCTAACACAATTAAGCGACCTGATTTGAGGCGATATTAGATCTCAGTCAGTTACAGTTTCTTTTTTTGTTACCTTTCAGATAAGCTGGATCACCGACAAGTCTGCAATACCAGTGCCTGCTGGAGGATATGTGAGTACACTGAAATAACTTTGCACGCGAGAGAGAGAGAGAGAGAGCTCATAGTTGAAAAGCACCAAAATGCAAAGTAGAGAAAGCGTAATTTGTAAGCGCATATTTATCGACGAGGTATACTTCGCAGAGAATGTAGAGAAAGGAACGTCTCCACGGTGGGAACGTATGAATGGCAAAGCGGAAGAACGTAGAATAACAAAAAGCGAGCACTTTGTCATCTCATCAGCAGAATCAAAGTCTATCAAACCAGGTGACGTAAGTTCGGACTGTTAATGCAAAAAGAAGTAACGAATATTACTGATGACACTAAGTGCGCGGCTGAGAGCTTAGAGAAAGGATTTGCGCTGTTTCGACACAAGGGTGCGCGTCCCTTGCTGTAACACTGCAGAACAGACGAATCGAGTTGTCGTGTCGTCCCACATACTTTCGTAGTGGCGGTGATAATGATGACACAGATTTTGATGAGATGCCCTGCGTACGTCACGGCCACATCGTAAACTGCGAACTTCTTAGTACTCATCGGCTACTTTCACTTCGTAGCAAATGTGGCGAGCGTTGTAGCCACGGCTTGACACTACAGTCAGTCAATGCATACTGTCGGCGTCACAAAGTTAGAGAGACCACTGGTTCAAAAAAATCCGCAAATTTTTCGCAATTCGTGACTGCATTCGCTCAAGCTGCAAAGTAGGCACTGTTTCCTTTTTTTTTTTGTCAACGCTCAACCATATTGACCACGCATCTTCAAATCGGCAACAATGTATGAATCGTATACCGTTTGTTTGAACGTTAACTCCAAGTTGCCCTTCCGATCGAGGTTCCTAAATGTGCGCTCAGGATTCCGGACTGATCGACCAACATATAGATGAGCTGTCCTATATCGCACTTCAGGGCGGATTTACATAAACACTTCGCTCTATTATAGTCTTTTCATCACCCTGTGCTCTTTACATTCCCTTTCCTTACAAAGCCGCCAGCCAGTACATACAGTCGGCGCCACAAGTTTAGAGACCACTAATCCGGAGAAATGTTTACAATGTTCGGGCGAGCTGCAAAATAAGGATGTTTTCTTAACGCGTGTTAGAAAAAACCGGACATGCAAGCCCAATTCCGCTAGCCGAAGCAGCTGAAATATATCCCGGCTGCGGCGGCTGCATTTCCGATGGATGCGGAAATATTTTAGGCCCGTGTGCTCAGATTTGGGTGCACGTTAAAGAACCCCAGGTGGTCGGAATTTCCGGAGCCCTCCACTACGGCGTCTCACATAATCATATAGTGGTTTTGGGACGTTAAACCCCACATACCAATCAATCATATCAGCAGCTGAAATATTCAATCTGTTTCCTGGCCTCTAAACTTTTGAAGCGGACTGTACATGCACTGGCTAATCTACGCATGCACCTCATCTACTTCCCTCCCGGTGAAGTCATGACGCCTGTCTGCAATGCTGTGCGTGCGTGTGCATCTGTGCAGCGCAGAGGCTGCGGCGCAGCATGAACGAGTCCGTGGACCCGTGCGAGGACTTCTACGAGTTCGCCTGCCAACGCTGGGACGCCGACCAGGGCGGTCCGATCTGGCAGAGCACGGCAGACACCATCAAAAGGGAATTCGGTGCTTCCAGGGACAACCTTCTGCAAGGTCGCTATGCCGAGCCCAACAAAGCCGAGAGTTACCTCATCAACTTCGTCGAACACTGCCAAAACGGTCAGCACCAGACATGTTACTAGAATGAAATCTGATTTAGCCCTCCCATCTCTCTCCACTAGGCGTCGAATTTCGCGACTAACTATTTTTCATAAGCTGTATCACCACCCCGTGCTGCGTGGCGAGCTAGGCCACACTATCAGTCAAGTCGTGTTGACCATGCGCGCAAAGTTGGAATTGATATGTGCAAAACAATGCATTGCTTTCATTCCTTCTTGCCCCGGACAAGTCGCGACTGGAATCGCCTTCCTTCTGACACTGCTTCCATTAATGACGTCCAACAGTTTTGAAATGTTCTAGCTAACATTGTATAATCAGGAGTTCTTCTAATGCTTTTTTTATGAGTCGCAGTTGCAATTTTTTAATTACATTGTGTTAATGATGTTATTGTATGTTGTATCTTAACGTCTTCGTGCTTTTTTTTTTTTGTTCTTTGCTCTCACACCACTCCCCTCTGTAATGCCTTTGGCCCTGAGGAAATCATAAATAAATAACCGCGGGCATTATTAGAATAACGCATGTACCCGTGTTTGAAAGTAATGTACGTTGCTCTCGCAAGTGATTTTAATCTAACAGCACTTTTTGGAAATCGGCAATCTGGAACAGTTTCCGCAGCTATACATGAATTGTACCAATGACGTGGCCACATTTGTCACTAGAAAAAAAAAAAGCTGTCCAAACAAGCATTTCTTCAGCACCCCCCCTTCCACCCACCCTTTTTTTGTGTGTGTGTCCTTGTCTTGTGTATGCGGACATGTGCACTCAGCCCACTCCCTCACTTCCTTTCTATTGCCCAACTCCTCTATACCCAAACTTATTTCGCTGGCCTCGTTGACTTATGTCATCTTCACCTTTCTCTCTCAGCCAGTAAAAGCACTTTAGAAAAAGAAAAAAAAAGCTTTTTGCTACGCTGTTAAAATAACGGTGTATGATATACGTATGTGCGACCACCACGGTATTTCAGATGATTTTTTCAGCCCACCACAAGGCGTCACGTTCGCATCCCGCCAGTGGCTGCGGAATTTCGGCGGAGGAGGCCCTCGTTCGCTTCAAATATTAAAAATCCTGGGTAATCAAAATTAATCTCTTGTGGCTCACGACATCCTCCGAAACGTTGAACAGTTTAACAATTCCGTCGGATTTCCGTTTTTAAGTTATATTCTCCGGTCTGTCACACGTTTGCCCTTGTATAAGATGCGAATTTTCAGTGTACGCTCCAGTCAGTGCGCGAGTATGGTAGTTCTTTTGCCGCGCAAATCTTTAACCATAGAGGAGTGTGCAGGGTTCCTCGGGTGGGAAGAGGGGGGGGGGGAGTCAGCGATGTCTCACCCCCGCGTCCATCTCCCTGTCATTCAAGTTCAAGAAAACAAGCTTCGCAGCTGATGCAAAAATGAAAATGGTGCCATGACGTGTTCACAAATAGCGACCCTATACTTCTCGTCTTCAACCTTCCGGGAGTAAAAATGGGAGGTAACCATACCTTGTAATGAAATATCAGTAGTCCTCAACCACATGGCCATAACTTTGTGCTTAAGGAATTGTGGGACAGGTCCGACTGAGTAAAAAATCACAGCATATTCCACGGAGTGAATGATTATGAGTGAAACGAAGCGTCCATCCGTCCGTCTGACTGTCGGTCCGTCTGTCAGTGCATTAGTTCATCCGTCCGTCCGTCGGTCTGTTTGCCTGATACTGCCGGTTACGCCTGACGCAAGCCAAGGTTAAACTAAGTGGAGCTTCGCCCCTAAAAGTATCCATGGGGCGGACATTGCGCCCAACCCCCTCTAATAATTGGGGGAGCAGGGGGGTCCCCCACCTGCCCCCTCGTGCACACACCGCAACAGGCATGCTAACTGTACTGTTGCTGTTGGTCGCAGACAAACCTCGCAGCACCTCGGAGGGAATGGACCCGGTGCTGGTGGAGCTCAAGTCGATGGGCGGCTACCCGCTGTTCGAGCCGGAATGGACGTGGGGCACCTACTGCTGGATGCAGGCCGAGGCGCGGCTCGCACACATGGGTTACAACCAGGCACTGCTTCAGGCGCGATTCGACGTCGACCCCAAGAGGCACGGACGGAGAATCCTTGTGGTGAGCTCCCGCGTTCGTTTATTGGTTGCACAGATGCAATCCATCCCACAGTTCAGGGCGACGGCGCCGTCGTACATGGTAAAGTGCAATTACGGTTGCGCAACTGCTCACACCGACCAAAAGAAGGAAACTGCACACGAAAGCGCAATGGTGCTGCATCATATCTTTTCATTTATTCGCGTTATGTTTTGTTGAAATTGAGAAATCGTGATGATGATGATGATTGCGAAGATGAATAATATGAGTAACAGTAATAATAAATTATTCGTGTTCCCGTGACAGAGTACCAGATAAATATTTCATGTGTTCATGCTGCATCATACAGCGCGTACTAACTTGAGAGGGCCGGGAGGAGTCGGAAGATTCGGACATCCCACCTGGATCGGCGCCCGGTTCAGATGGCTACTCTCGCCTATGGCACAAGACACTTCCACCGGGTTCAAGTTCCCGAACGATCGAGCCCGATGTGCGCACGTTTTCTTCCTTTTCTACGTACCAATTAATTAGCTGGAAGCTTGTGTATATTAGCACCTTCATGATTGTTAATGCTTGTCGTGTCACAGAAATGGCGCATGTGCGGACTGGGCATCGAAGCAATGGTTAGGTGTTGCTCGAGTATTTCACGATTTCCCGAAAGTCGAACTGCGTTGAACTGCCCTTTTTTTTTTCAGCTCGGACTACAACCGCTGATGTTCACGCGAGCAGTCCTTGACAAGGAGGATACGGTGACGGGCATTCGGACGTTCCTGCGAAACGTCGCACTCAGCTACAGGAAGTTGCACAATGGCACTAAACAATACGCCAACGAACAGCAGGACGTCGAGAGCCAGATCACCGAAATGTTCAACTTCTCCAGGGCGCTACTTGAGGTACGGTGCATGCACTCTAAACCTTTTTGCAACCTTAAAGCGATTTCAAGCAAACAAAGCAACATTTTGCAAAAAACTAAACTTGTAAAACAGGGGTGTAAGGGTGTTTTACTTCTTGAAACAGCCGTTCGGTTTGCTCAAGGGGTAATGATTTACCTAAAACACCGTAACTAAGAGTGTTACGCATCATCGAAACACCTGCGGTCCATACGACAGCCTGACAGATAACAAGGGACTCACTGAATAAAAAGTCGTTGGACGTGCGAGTTAGCATTAAAAGATGTCTCTTTTGGGGCTATCAAAAAAATCACAGGATATCCACGGAGTGAATGATGCGTAGGGCGAAGCGTCCCTCCATCCATCTGTCCGTGTGTCCGTCCATCCGTGCATGCGTCTGATCGCGTTCGAGAATGCAGACGGCGCGCGGGTTGATTGATTGATTAATTTGTGGGGTTTAACGTTCCAAAACCACCATATGATTATGAGAGACGCCGTAGTGGAGGGCTCCGGAAATTTCGACCACCTGGGGTTCTTTAACGTGCACCCAAATCTGAGTACACGGGCCTACACCATTTCTGCCTCCATCGGAAATGCAGCCGCCACAGCCGGGATTTGATCCCGCGACCTGCGGGTCAGCAGCCGAGTACCTTAGCCACTAGACCACCGTGGCGGGGCACGGCGCGCGGGTAACACCGACGAGACGAGAACCAAGAAAGCGGAGCGCAAGCGTCTTCAACGCGCCCGCCGCTCTGCTTCGTCCATGTCCCACCGACGATCCGCCACTTACGGCAACTATCCAGGAGACTGAGAGAGGCACTCGTTCACCGCGAATTCAAGCAAAGCGCGCGAAGCAGCCAATCGGAGAGTAGCGGCAGAGTAACGCCATCTAGGAAATGAGACAAGAAATGGTCGTCCATTTCTTTTACCGTCTCTTTCGTCTCTTCTCTTGGTTACGCACGACCACCAGTGACAAGGTTAGAGGTGCTTCGCCCCTTAAACAGGCCATAATATTACATCCATTCGGCGAGTGTTTAACGTTCACTAATACGGAACAAGAATACCCCCACTGGCACTGAACAGCGGCTCAAAACCATGGCTACTTATACAAGATGGTCGGTGCAAGGCTGTGTAGCGCGAGTCCATGCATGGGGTGCAATATGCCAAGTTGCATGTTCGGGTACATACGTGCAGCTTCTGTGTTATTGTCATCTGCAATTGAATGTTATCCAACTGGTAGACCTTAATTGTCACAGTTTCTCAGTGATAAGGGTGTTTAGACAAGTAACAACGCAGCGTAATATGGGTGTATTGATTCGCGAAAATACCTTGCCCCTAGAGTGCAAAGGTAATACTTAAAAAAATAAACTTGAACTTGTTATTGACATGATAAAACCCCCTTAAAGGAACACTGAAACACTTTCTTTTTAAAACGAGATTATGGTGTCATGATACATAACTTCATGCGGCAAACTCAAAAATCAAGTAAAAAATTTGCATAAACCAACGCAAATAACTTTATTTTTCCGAAAGCAAGAAGCACGCGCCACGGCCACCATCGCGAGTCTCGCCGCCGCTGTGATTGGTCAAAGCTCCATGACGTCACTGTCAGGAAGGTGAGGATAGAGTTCCTCGATGCAGGGCACGTGCATTGAGGCACCCTAAAACTAAAGCCCTTGATCCTGGGATCACGAGGCTTTACCTAGGACAGCTGACTGCGCTCGCCGGCAGTCAGTTCCGTGTGCATCTGTTGAGGCGTTGCGCGGTGCTCCCTTCCGGGCTGCAGAAATTGTGCGTCTATAGCTCTTCTAACCACCACCACCACTATCTGTTGAAATCGGGCAGTTGCTGTAAGTATGGCGAACTGTGAAAGTTGGACCGAGTTCGCTGTATGTACATCCGTACTTGTTCGAGCCAGTCGCCACTGATTGATTGATATGTGGGATTTAACGTCCCAAAACCACTATATGATTATGAGAGACGCCGTAGTGGAGGGCTCCGGAAATTTCGACCACCTGGGGTTCTTTAACGTGCACCCAAATCTGAGTACACGGGCCTACAACATTTCAGCCTCCATCGGAAATGCAGCCGCCGCAGCCGGGATTCGAACCCGCGCCCTGCGGGTCAGCAGCCGAGTACCTTAGCCACTAGACCACCGCGGCGGGGCAAGAGCCGGTCGCCACTGAAGCGGCACAGGAAAGCGAGTCCCAACCAGCCACCTTCACCCGCGTCGTAAACACAGACTGGCGCATGCCAGTGCTTAATTTCCCTGTAGTAAACTGTTACAAATGATACGCTTATCAGTGGATATGAAATTCGACAAGAATCAGCAGTATCGGCACTCCCTTTTAGCCTATTGGCACGGTTCGCGCTATACAGCGTGGGCAGCGTGCAGAAACATCAGCTGTTCGTGGATTTCACAGCTCGAGAGTGCAGCGTTGTTAAAGCCGTCAGTATCGTACTTCGCAGCGGGCAAGGCGCACGCGATGAATCAGTATGCTACCCCAAGAAAAAAAAAAGGGCCCCGTATCTGCATGTTAATCTGCAAATGTCGTCGAAAGACGATAGTCTTGCGTGTGGAGAGAGTGAACAAAACATTTATTTGATGTTCTGCGCAAGAAAATCGGTGAATGGTATTCTGGAGGCAGCTGCGTTAGAGTGCCTCGAGCGTGCAGCGGAGACAAACGAGCGCATCAAGTCACGTCACACGTGATAGATGAGTGCCATCTGGCAGTTTTTTTTTTTTTTCGGGGGGGGGGGGGGGCGTCGCAGGCGCGCTGCACCTCTGAGACGGGCGTGCGCGCCCGTCTCAGAAGTGATAAGGTGTATAACGCAAGGCGACGGGTAGGTGCCACCATCGTGTCGTTTTAGCAAAGCGTTGGAAACACTCCCCTTTTCGTGCAAGTGTTGCATGGTAAGCGCAGCGTATATAAACGCTACGGTCCTTAGAATTACTTATGTGTGCCTTTTCTAGTAAAAGACGCACATGCAGAACATGTAAGTGTTGTTATAGTGCCTCAGATATGCACAATAATTGATTCTTTATTGACAATCGCACAAGTATTAACGCTGAATCTTGAGCAACATTGGTGGGCGCTGTGGATGGGGTCGGCCGTTTTGGGGTTTCGGCTGGTGCTGTTTAGAGTACCCGGTACCGTTAAAGTGGACAGACTAAATTTTTTTTTGTCGAAGGTCCCCAAGAAAGACTATCATATTTAAAAAAAGAAAACGAGCCAGACGAGTGCCGCTCTTGCCACAGTAGTGATATGTGCTCTGAACTGCACTGAGAATTGCGCAAGAATAGTTTGGCTCATATATTACAATTCTGTTTGTTTCTTTATAATAACGTCACTTTTCCCAAACTCTGCCCAGTACCACACTGATGATGTGTTAAAATGCAAACGGTGTATTAGCTGCGCTAGAAGCACGCGACTGTTGTGTAGAATAGCTGATTTCGAATAAGCGTACTGATATCTTTGTACACGTGATTTCGCTATAGGTGCTCATGCACGCACTGCATGCAAATGAGGAAAGAGGAGGAGTGCTGCTGCTGCCTCGAAATTTGGCAGATTCGCGACCGCCACAGCGCGCTTCATCTCATAGGTTTGAAGTATTTTTTTTTAACTGCAGCTGCCCATTTTGTAGCCATCTTCTGATCCCGGGGAAACTTAAGTGCTTAAGTGAAACCGTAAGTGCTGCGGCAGCCATATGCCGTGCAGTAACTCGGCATCGCAAGTCGACTTTAACCTTGCAAAACCACAACTAGTGAATGTCGGATGGCAAAAATATCTAACCATAAGAAGATAACAGTGCAATGACAAGAAATCCCTACGAACTGGCAGAACTGGTGCTTCGCCAGGCAGCAGATCGCAGCAGAAACAAGGCGCAACCACGAAGTAAACAAGCTGAGCTGACCGAGCGAAATGGTACTATATAGGTGTTCTGTGGGCAGGCGGCCCGGCACATAGTTGCCCGTCGGGCGACAGCTCGACCACGAAGGTGACGTCACCCCCCACATGTCTATATCTCACGTGCTCCGCCCCTGCGCACGCGCGCGTGTCAGGAAGGGGGTGGGGGGGGGGCGTCCCCTCGGCCGAAGTTTGCTCGCTCATAGTGCCGTTTTTTAACCAAACCTCGCGAAAAAAACCTCGGTGCACACGTTGTAAACCTCGCGAAAAAAACCGCCGCACACATGTTGTAAGAGGTCGCGGATACCGAATTCGCAATAAATTCGAGAATTCAAAACCTCTTCAGTGTCCCTTTAAGGGTGTAGAGTGGTTTACCGTGACTTAGTTGCTCCTAAGTACTTCTTACTACAACCCCGACGACATTTGATCAGCGCGCATAGAACAAGCAGATTAAAACCAATTCACCTGTCAGCAGATAAGGCAGGACTGAATATCGCTCAGCCTCTGGCGATCTTTTCGTAAAGAATTCTTGCTTCTCAAGAAGGCGTCGACATTCAGATGGCCATTGATGACGCTGATTGCGTTTTTTTTTGTGAATAATTATTATTACGATAATAAATAATCATAATCATCATCGCACTCAAATGAGCCTTCCTGTGGTTTATTTAGTTAACAAGATGCAATAAAGTACAAGGTGGCCACTCCACCCGCCCAAGCCTGACGTCCCAACAAAAACATTGAAGGACACTTTGTAAATTCCAAAGTGCACACGGCTTTGTGTTCCATTGAATTGTAGACATACTACGTTGCGTAGAAGCGATATATGCTTATATACAGTAACCTTCTAGGTTTACGAGAGGGCCGAGGAATCGTGTACAACATGCATTCAACCCCATTTTACCATGAAAGTGTTCTATGCTGCGGTCCACCACGGTTTCATTGACGTACTTCCGTCACGGATGTGACGTCGTAAAATATATACTAACAGATAGCAAAAAAAAAACAAGAAAACGTTTTGTCCCGGGGCGTTGAACCGGTGACTTCTCCATCCGCAGCACGCGGCGTTAACCACTACGCCTCGGAGAGAATGCTGTCAAGATTGATAACGGCAGGCAATTTATATACGTCATATACCGTTTGGCGGTCTTCAGAGCTCCGCAACTTCAGCGCGCTTTTGTCATCAGTAGCGAGATGGCGCAAAGATTTTGCATTGGGCGCGTTTTAAAGGTAGTCGCCTCTAGCGTTTCGATGAGCGCCACTTCCTGCGCGCGCGCCCCTCAGACTCGTGATTCGGAAGAGCATGAAGGTCACTTCACTCACTGCCGCGGCCACGTTGACAAAAGGTGCACGCTGCTCATACAGAAGAAGAACTGTAACAGTTGTTCCTGCTTGTCCTGGGTGTACTCGGCGTGTTCGTTTCGTGCGTCTTTGTTTAAACAGCGCGCTTTAAAATGTCGAGTTGAGTCCGCGCACGTCCTGTGGATGCTCATCTTGTGCGTGCTTTCTATCGTGAGGTGCTCGCTGCAAGTTTTAAGCTGCTCATTTGCGTGACTTTGCAATTTTTTGCTGTAGCATTCATTCCTTCGCCCTTGTGGCGGAACATTGCACAACAACCGCTCAACTACCTCTCTGAAGACACATTTCACTTACGTGTTATATCGATTCCTAAAATTGGCCACGTTTTTTTTTAAACCTCCGGAGCAAGACAACAGTGAAATGCAATTTTCGGTTCCGGCAATGCATAACTGAACCTATTTATCACTACATTTTAAATGAAACTGAACTTTGGTTGGTCCGCTTCATTGCAGGATCTAGAAAACGAAACTACTGCCAGCCAAAAGCCTCAAAGGATGACGGTGGAGGAACTATCAAGAAAAATACCGGAGGTAAACGTCTATCTTTCTAGCACCGCTTGCCTGTGGGTGTCTATATCTTCAGGGTCACAAACCTAAAAAAATGAAAGTGCCACATGCAGTTTTCTCAAAGCTCAAATCGCACAAGCCGCTTTTATATGAAGCAGTCATGGCAAGCACCTATGATACACAAACTGAGTGCGATTGCAAGGTGAGCAGCGAGGCATAAAAGGAAGTCATATGGTCAGAATGCAAAAAAAAAATTTCAACTGCGAACTTGTGCAAGACCTCTTACAATCCCAGCTTTCACCATTCATCACACAGCTATCTTAAGCAAGGTGCAGAGTTGTGTTGTAACTGGAAGTGTTGCCCTTGGCACGCAATATTTCACCCTTGTTTAGCAATTCACTATTTAGCTTACGTACACCTCCCACAATTAACTGCCATCTCACCTCTGTAGACCAATAATTTTGTTCTCAGAATAAATCTTCAGTCTGTCAAATGTGGTAGTTTGCCAGTCCTTGGTTCCTAAAATATTCACTTGCATCTAAACTACCACCAACTTGCTGAAGCAAGTCCAGCCATACCCTATTCAAAGCTGGTTTTTTTAAGGGGTTTAATATACATTCAATTGCCTCCAACGTCATCTTTGTAGCAGCTATGCACAGCATCCACTAAGTAAGCATCCCTTCTCATTACGCTATAAGCTGTGCTGTTTTCAGTGCAGGTCTTCCTCCTTTCAGCTGCTCATCTCCATGTCTGTCTCTTGCGCCATTCATATGTGCCCAGATTAAGTGGCTCAAGTACCTGCGAAAGCTGACGTCACCCGCTCTACAGGAGGCCAGCTTACCGGAATTTAATGACACAGACAGTGTGATGGTGCTCAACCTTGAAGCGCTAAGAGCACTGGCAAAGTTCCTTGGCAACTGCCGCCAGAACACACATCATGTAAGGTGAGCACCTCCTTCCTCTATTAAATGTGCAGCTGATTCTAGAGCTTATGTGCTTCTTAAATTCAAACTTTCTATAGCGTGGTTAAGAATAACAAAAAAAACCAAAGAAGCCAAAAAAACAGGGGGCGGGGAGAGAGCACCTTAAGGAACACATAACCTTCAGGAGCACTTGCACAATTAACAGTTTTATGCTCACTGTAAACAAAGCTTTTGGTACTCTGTCAAACCTGTCAATACACAGGCAACAATTCATGTTGATCACAACAGTTCATCACATTGTGCACCATTTCAATGCATTGTTTCCTTTGAGCATTTCCTGTAAGCTCCTATATATTCCCTTCTGAGAATTGATCAGACAGGCTGCACACTATGTTACTCATAAACTGTACAGACCAACCTCAAATAGTTATGCCTTTGGTCAGTACATAAAACTTCAAAATTTCTCCAAACACCGCCACTATATCTCTACATGAGTGCAACAACTACGTGAAAATGTCATTGAGAGTGGTGGCCATCTTTGTAATTACCCAGTAGTACAGTCCTTCAATATATGTGTTGACCCAAAACAGGTCTCCGTTATTAAATCCAGAATTGCAGCACGGAGCTGCGTAGTTGCACGAGGTCGTGACAAAATTAAATTAAATTGATTGGCACAGTGATGTGCAGGATTGTAACACACTAAGATGTATGTGCTCTCGTTGGCTGTGCAGAGCGATGGCAAACTACATAGGCTACAAGTTCCTGATAAACAGCGTTTTCTTTTCACCCCAACCGGAGATCCGAGAGACATACTACAACTACACCATGCAGCAGGGAGTGCAATTCAACCGTACTGCTAAATGTAGGGAGCTCGTGGAAACATTAAGGCTCGTCAGTTACCACCACTACTTCCGTACAAACCAGCACAAGTTTGATCAGCAGAGAGCACTGGTAAGTTACTGAATGTCACATAGAATTGTGCCACAATCTGGCTCACTTTTTTGGTACTGTCGCTTGTAGACATGATAGACATCATGTCAATCATGACGAGTAATACATGAGATTATTTTAGAAGCTCTTATCTTGAAAGAAAACTTATTGCGGAAATTATCAGCATGCTGTTCAATGTTAAGGCAATCAAAGCTGAAGTCGCAGCAAGCCACATTGTCAATGTCAAAATAAATCATGTATGTGGAGTGTGTACTGCAGCCACAAAATCCTCACCTACACTGATCTTGACCCACAGGGTGTTTAAAAGGCCAGTCAACAGGCTCCAACTTTTTTTTTTAACACCCCCCAAACACGCTCGGTAATTCGTAGAGTAGACCGCAGCGATCACGTTTTCCAAATGCTATAAAGCTGCGCCCCACGCACAGCCTCAATTTTTAAAAACGGTTCCCGCACTCCTTTCCTACACTAGACCAATCTCCTTGCACGCGCAGTGACGACAACTCGGCGATCGGCGACGTGATGCAGCACGCAGCTCGTCGATTGGTCTAAACCACTGCCTCAACAAACAGCAGTGAAGCCAACAACAGTTCCTGTTCCCACCTACAGCTACGACAGAGCTATTCAATTATACGAGTTGTGAAACTCCCCATAGGCTCCATGCACCAAAATCAGGACACTTCATTGACCCAGTTTTAGAAGGGTGAGCAGATTTTCGCGCCACCTGTTGATAGGCACACCCACTATTAAGCGCATATTTGTGTTTTGTGTTGTTGCTCCTCCCAGATAGCACGGCAGTCTGCTTCCAAAAAATTGAACTCCAAAAAAATCGCGCCAACTTCATGTGATGGTTTTGGAACGCAGTTTTGCTGCAAATCATTGTCGGCTGCAAATCGAGCGGCTGGGCTGCGGAGAAGCATCGGCACCGGTTAAACGGAAAACAACCAGGCATCGCAGCAAGCGGAGTGCGTTACGACTGATCGAGTTTGCCGATAACATCAATTGATGACGTCTTGTCACATTGTCGAAGTGGACGGAGCCACGACAACGGGCCACGCCCTCCCTTTCCTCTGAAGGAGAAGGTGGCGAGATCACGCGAAAATTTGAAACGAGCTGAACGCGATGTTCTTCCTTAATATAGCACTTCACAATATAGCACTTCCTTAATATAGCACGTATTTGCAAAATTCTTGTGGCAGCATGTTGCAAGAAAAATTGCACATATTTCTCTTTACAATTTCTGGACCTTGCGGTTGTTTACTGGCCTTTTAGGCTAACCAGTGCCAATTATACTTTTTATTTAGTGCACTCCAAAAAAAAAGCTGAAAACATTTTCACGGGCAGCTATCTTAGCATGGATGAAGTAATCCAACATTGCTGAGCAAGCATAGCTTTTCTATGAAACACTTTTCAATAATTAGTATTTTAGACTGACCCCACTTATCAGATTAGTGTTTGATAAGCATGGATGAAATATTCGGACCTTTCAGGACAAGTGCTACAGCTTTTGCATGCAAGAATTTTCACTACAGGTAGTAATTAAGTTTATCAAGCAATTTCTGTTAATTACCCAACTTGGCAAATTGGAAAAAGCCTCGCAAGCTGCAAACAGCTAAGAAATATACTTGGTCAGTTTGTACTGCATGGTGCATGTGTTTGTTTTCATAATACTAGGTACAATTTAACTGTACCACCCCGCATGCTCAAATGCCCTTTAAGACAGGCCAACAGCATGGTTGGCCAGACTGTTCTAATCAGGTTTCCATTACATCTGTCATACTGGAGCACTTTAAGCAATCCTATTCTCATCTTAATTTTTCCATTCAAGCTTTTACATCATTATACAATTGTTGCCTAACCTGTAAGAACTTCCGCTGTCTTTATCTCTTCCCTGTTTTTTTTTTTCTCTTTTTTTTTCTCACCAATAGCATAAGTTTATCTTGCCTTGATCTTGACTACTGGACAATTCATGGCCCCACCTGCTTTTAATATCAGTGCCTGTGAAAAGTTGATGTCTGCTCCGGACCTTACAGGTCAAATATCTAAAGCATTCCATTAAGATCTCCCGATTAGCTTCCAGACATTTGTTACAGCAGGTGCATGCCCCATCCCATTTCAAATATTTTCTTTTGCATGTTTTTATCTTCGGGACTTGAACCTCAAGTAACAAAGCAGCGCACTTTTTAAAGTATGTTCCTTAAGATTCCTTTTCATTCTAGTTTGTGTAAATCTCCATGGCCTTTAATATTTGTATGCTTTGCATCCAACTTACTCTCTCCATCACTACCTTTTATAAGACAGATGGTCATTTATTTATAAAGTTAATCAGATCGCACAAGGTTGCAAAGTTTTTTGACACCTTCCTCTATTTAATGCTACAATGTATAGCAGTGTCATTAAAGTTCCTGTCCCGAACCAAACAATTTTTCTTGTCCCTGGTGATCAGCACATGCTCAAAAACCCAACTGTTCTGATAATTCATTAGAACCTAGCAACCTCAGCAGAACACATAATGCTTAAAACATTAAACCAAGACTACTCTGAAACTCAAGTTCATGGCAAAATGATTAGATGTATATATATATGTTACAGACATCGGAAAGCAAGTGCAGTAATCTAAAATTCAAACTGCATTAAAATGGGGCATAACATAGGCACCCCTGTTATCCAGTAAAAGCACTGCATTGAAAGTAAAGACAGCAGATTGCACTAAATTAACCTACTGTTGCTTTGCTTGCCATTTTCAGGCAGTTCACATGTTAGATGAAGTGAAAGTACAATTCAACGAGATACTGAAAGCAGCAGCATGGATAGACAGTTCGACAAGGACCCTCCTGATAAGAAAGGTGGGTAGCACTTCAATGAATATGTTGGTCACCTGTAAAAAGTGAAAGCCCACCTTTTAGGTTACAGTGCAGATGGCTTGGTTCTGCCCTTCTAAGTAAACACGCCTGAACAGTACAGCTGCTACAACAAAATTTCTCATAAAAGGGAGGTGGGCTGCTAAAAATGAGTGAATGTCATGAAGAATGAAAATCGTTAGAAGAAATTAAAGCAAGTTTTAGTTAAAACTTTTTGAATGTCCCTTACCCGAGGTGGTAGCTTAGAAGTTAAGCTTGAAGGCACAGGTTCGATTCTCTATAACGGTAGCCTCCTTCCAGTAGGGGCGAAATGCAAGAATGCCCCAGGTGGCTAAAATGTTCATCAGAAAAATCCACGACGGCGTGCCTCAAAATCATAAAACAGGTCGTCCCTTAAAACACAAGCACTCATTGGTGCCCCTTTACACTGTGCCCGAGACACATGTTTTCTGAAGAACAGCTGTGAGCAGGGGCCTTGTACATTGTGCCCTTGAACATTTTGCGCATTTCACACTGGACTGCTGCAGGCACCTACTTGTGAATGAGTCTGCTGCAGTTTAGATTTGGACATTGATGAGTCCTACAACTTCTTTCATGATGCCTGCATAGATGCAATATGAGAAATTACACTCCAAGTATAACTGAAAGATGATGTCTATGACACTACGCTGATGAGCTGAGCATTCTGAATAAATAACATCAATGATTATCAACTAAACGAACTAAAACAAGACTGCCTGCAGCATCATACAAGAACAAATCTTGACAACAGGGACACGCATAAAATTTTTGCTCACTTATTAAGAAAGAATACATAACTTTCTCGACATGATTTTTGTATATGAGAAAAAAAAAACCTTTGTATTCTATAGAGAACCTCATGTTTAGCCGCACAAACTGTTCTTTACCTTAACCAGATGCAATACTAAATATATTGTGAGATCCTAATTTTAACAACTAGACTGGTTTGAGTTTTACCACATTACCTGGTATTACTTAGCTAACACGCTAACCATGCAGTATTACCTGAAATTTTATCAGATATTAAGAGTGAAATTTTCATCTTTCACAGCTTGCGAATGTCATGCCCTGGTGGGCTACACCGAGTGGCTTCTGAATGCAACTAACTTATACAATTTCTACCAAATGGTGCGTATGTGTGACATCCTAGTAGGCCCAAAATGTAGCACTGCCTGTCAGCAAAAACCAGTGTGGCCACTACACTTTTTCCTAAAATCCTGTTTTTCTTGCTCTTATTTTCCCAGGATAAAGCTCCAAAAACCAATGGCCCATTCCTTGAACGACTAGTGTACCACAGAGTACAAAAGTACAACCAGCAAGTCAAAGAGCTCTTCTTAGACAGAAATCCAGAGTGAGTACATGCTGAAGCCAGCAGTGCTAGTTCGAGATTGAATAAGAGAGTTCAGTTTATTAATTGCTGGGGTTTTATGTCTCCAAGACAACATATAATTGTGATGGACACCATAACGGAGAGGTCTGGAAATTTCAACCACCTGTGTTCGTTTATGTGCAGTGACATCACATGGTAAACAGGCCTATAGTATTTTGCCTCCATCAGAATGTGGGCCAGTATCGATTTTGTGACAGCAGACAAGCCTTGTAACAACTCTACTACTACTTCTTTCTTTTTGGCGGTGAGGGGGGGAGGGTTAACATCACAAAACCACCATATGAGTATGAGAGACGCCGTAGTGGAGGGCCCTGGGAATTTCGACCACCTGAGGTTCTTTAGCATGCGCCTAAATCTAAGCACATGGGCTTCAAAAATTTTCGCCTCCATCAGAAATGTGGCCGCTGAACTGCACTGCTACGGTGGACTAGAAAAGCAGAAAGAAAATGAGAAAAAGAAGGAAATAAAGATAAAAAGAGGGAAAGGAACATCCAAAATATAAAAGAGGTCAGCCACATTAACAGTCATGAACATCCGATAACCCTTCATGGCCCTTGACCTTTTTTCTTTTCCTTTTACTATGCTAAAAAAGGAACCTTTTTCAGCATAGTAAAGAAACGCTGGACAATTGGTAGTCCAGGCATCCAGGCTCCCAAGAGCACGTGAATTGAACGTTATGGCGCAGCATGCGGCCTAGAATTTACAACAAATTTTCACATTCAGCAATAAATTGCTTCCTCTTTACTCTCAAATGAGGCTATTTGCCAAAATTACTTTGCTGTACACCCAAATACACGGCCATTGGCTGACTTGAGTGTCAAGAGCTGCACAGCTGCCATGGCCGCCGCAGAATGCCTTCATGTGCCCCCGCGTGTGCGCTCTTAGTCACCATTAAAGGTAAGCCGCAAGTTCAAAAGAAAACAATGAGCTCAAGGCCATGACACGCACAGACAAATTGACACATCATCCTGCCCTTTTATCACACCTCTCCCTACGTAGCTTTCAGTGTGCTTGCTGGTACGAGAGCAGAGAGAAAGCACTTGAAGTGGGCAATAAGTTCCTGTAATTCCACTTGTACTATTGTGAGCAATATGAGTGCGAACACACGAACGCGTGGCAAACAGCCTCGAACCCTGCATCGGCTGAGTCGCAGCAGCTGCTGTCAGAAATGAAGTGGAAAGGGCAGCGTGCCTCCATTAGCTGTTGACCCTCTCCCTCGATAACGTTGCTGCAGTATGCAGGTTATAGCATGTCAGTGGCTGCTAGCAGTAATATGAGCCAACGTCGGAGCGCGCAGCCACAACCAATAACCTCGCAGGCTATGAAGCTACAAAAATATCGGCCGAGATGTAACCTGCCGTGATGCATAGGCCATACTTTTATTGCATTTAGGTGGTGTTCGCCAAGCCCCTTGACGCGCATTTTTGTTTTTGGTGTGTTTTCTTTTCGCGTTATTATTGCTAGCAGCAGATGGCATGCGATCAGCTGACGTTTCACAGCAACGATCATGCAAGAGTTCCAACAGTCAGTGGAAGAGCACCCTCCTTTCCTCTCCGGTTTCGGCAGCGCCATCCACGTATTACGTTATCTTGGTTTTACGGCTATTCGTCACGCGCTCGCGCGTTCGAGCTCATGTTGCTCATGATAGTACTTGAGAGATTATAAAAATTTTTTGCAGCAGTCGATTCACAAGTCAATAAGCTATTTTAATGAAGTTTATCTAAAGCTTACGGTAGTAAATAAACCGTTATATTACTGCTCTTACCTGGATAATAATATTATTTCCTTCAAAGACGAGCCCTGTAGTATATATTTGCTACATACACAAGGACAAGTAAATTGCTTGTCTTTTGACTTGTTTCTTAGTGTTAGGATGTGCATTCTGTCCTGAAGCAATTTTTTTTTATTGGTCTTCTGCCAGCATTTTCTAAGCTTGTTACTTGCTGGGCTATTCACGGCATGGTAGCAATACCTTTATCTGTTGTACAACATAAAATGTTACACAATTTGATAAATAACAGAGCATGAAAGGTTAGTGGCACTGGACCCTTCATAATGTCTCTCACACTTTTCTTTCAATGCTCATGCAGTGTTTGATAGGGTCGTCTAAGAAAAAATTATGAAGAAATACAACATGGAAATACTGCTGCATGCACCAACAAAGTTCTTTCAGCCTCAAAAAATATTTCAGTTTATTTTTTAAGTATCTACACAGGCCGACTATTTCATGTGCTCGAATATCGCAAATCTCATAATTGTTAATTGATCTTTTGTTAATTTCAGGATTTGGCAAGACATAAATGCGGAAACTGTAAATGCTGCCTATCACATACGAGACGTCAATGTCAGTAAGTGCATGAACTGTGTATGCCTCATATTCATAATGTATATTCAGTGTAAAATCTTTCACATGGCATGGGATATGAAAAAAGAAAAAAAAAGAAATGGCTATTGAGCCTGGATTTCAAATATGATATCTGTACTAGAGAATGGAACCAATCTAATGTCATCTTTTATTTGCTATTCAACTTACAAATATAACCTCCAACTCTTATACATGTAATGTCAGCTGTATATTGCATGGCGCTACACGTATTGCACACCTTTGCATAATGCTGGTAGAAAGGTAAGCCCCCGTTATAAAGCCATACCAATATAACAAATGTACGGATGTGAAGTGGTCTTAAAGACCTTAGTTGAAAAGAAAAACAGTAAAGCATGATAGTCCCAAAAAAATGCAATGGCAATCTCGCACAAACAAGAGGCCAAGCCTGTGTAAAATATGCATCAAGTGGTGGCCTTTCCAGAGTACTTTATAAAAACTATTTTGTTTTGTCACTGAGAAACTGGCCCACATCCTCAAGGGGGATTGCCCACACTGCCTATTATAAAGAAAAATCGAAGGCTGCACAACATAAAAAAAGGCACAGAAAAGATAGAAAGAAGAAAAAAATCTCTTCGGGGAGACTTCTGCAAGTACGCTTGTGAGGAGCCCAATGTGCCATAAATCATCATCATATTGCAAAACAGAAAAGCATCCACTAAGCCTTAACTAATCGATTTGCAAAGAAGCGAGGTTCCTACAATGCATCTATGAGGCATTATGCACAGCTACGCGGCTGCCATGATTCATCATCATCAGCCACAGCGTGAACAAAGTTTGCAGTTACATAGCTATACAATTTGTTCATGCTGTGGCTGATGGTGATGATACATTATAACCGAGCCCTTTCCAATAGATAGGAAGCTTTAAACCACCCATCCACAAAGCAACACCTGGCTTTATTTCATTCTTCTACAATGCAATAATACTGATATGCTTCCAAATATACAGTAGAGATGAATGTACTATACCGCAGCTTTTTATTTCATCCCATAATCCTTCTGCGTTGCAGAGGTATACGCTGGCATGCTTTTGGAGCCATTCTCATACCTTGATGTTCCAATGTAAGTTTAATTTTTCACGTATATCTCACTGAAAGTACCAAAGATCTATTTAAAAATATAGAACAATACATACTCTGAGACAGAATGTATAAAACTTACCCAGGTGCAATATAGAAGGTAACTGTTAACTACAAACACTGCAATACAAATGCCACAACATCATAACAAATTTGTGCTAATTCTTTTCTGTGTTACATTTAGCAGCACCACATAAATGCTGATTGAATTTATTAAAATGCCCCCTTACTGCTCACATTTCAGCATATCTTTCTTTTTGTTTGTATTGCAGATATGTGAACTATGGCACCCTAGGATTTGTGGCTGGTCACGAGATAATACATGCCTTTGATGACAGAGGTAAGCTTCAGATTTCCATTATTATTTTCAATTCACACGTGGCATATGTTTGCTCATTGCCATCCAACTTCTTGTGTCCTCTTTCGGTCAAGGAAATGTGAAATAAGTACAGTAAAAATCAGCACCTACTAAAGTAGTACTAAATAGACAAATAACTTTTTTTTATTATAAAATCTTCTTTCACAATATCAAAGCCACCACACTTGCTACGGGAACACACATAGCAAGCGAGCAAAAGAAAATGTGGGTGGCTGCGCCACCCCAAATTTATCGCACCGATCGTCACGTCATAGATTTTGACATCTACTAAGGCCTACGTCGTTCATAATTAGTCAAGACTAAGTACTTTGTCTTCTGAGAGAGTGAGAGACTTAGCATAGCAAGTGTCAGGAAATTTCGCTGAGCCAATGTCGCTGAAATACGAAAAAGACACTTCAGTATATTCAATGTTAACCCTGTAGCTTTTCTTACTTGCGTCTGGTGACTTTCAGTAAGCTTTCCTTTTTTTTGTTAATTGTAACTCAGTTTTATAACATTTTAGGTTCAGACTATTTGCAAGAGACTTGGATATAATCTGAGAAAATTCAAGCGCGATCGGTTAGACAGTTTTTTAGAAATGGTACGTCAAGCTCCAAAAAAATTTCAAAAAGTTGACTGAGAGAAAAACACACTTTTATGCTTAAAAACACCTGTGAAACGTGTGTGCTACATACAGCTATAATACCGCTAAAAATGCATTTCCGTGAGAAAACTTACTATCGAAAAATCTGAACATGATAGGAAGTGATGTATCATGTGACATGGCTTAAATTATTTAACACAGCATGCGTAGTTTATGTATTTTGTTGCTTGAATAGATGAATAAAACGAGATAAATAGTGAGACGCAATAAGAAAATGTGAGCGCCTTTCGTTCATTTTTTCCGTGAATCGCAACGAGATGCGGGCTAATGTGCCAGCGTTTCGCATGCGTTCTTGTCCCCATGGTCAGCGCATCGAGCAGATGACAGCCGTGGAACGCTCTTACGTGTTCACGGACTCATTGTTATCATCTATTCTACCACATCTAAGCCAGCGTTTCCAAACCATCCCACAGAAACAGGCAGTAAACCTCAAAACAACGCTGTTAAAAAAAGCGCCCCTCGTGTGCACGGGGGGTTGGGCTTGTTCAGGCACGCCATGCGCACGTGACTGTGATATCTTGGTCGGATGCCGGAGAAGGTAGGGAAAAGATTTGGCTAGCGAAGGCTGCGCAGGAAAGCAGCAAGGGTTTCGAGCTCCCCTCCTCTCATGCTTGCTTCGCACCGCTTCAAAAACACAGCTTTCTCAGCTCATAATGAACCGATTCAAAACATTTTTGTGGCAAAATGTTCCTCATCGGACACCTAACAACTTCCATGGTCTAACTAAAATTTGGTATGGTGCCTGGTGAGTGGCCCTTTAAGGGGGTATGGTAGGGTAAATAGGTTATCCTAGTTTCGAGCTTTGTAGTATCTCCAGAACTGTCCCATATTTTGTCCTGAATTCAGTCTATTCAATGTTGACCCTGTAGCTTTTCTTACTTGTGTCTGGTGACTTTCAGTAAGCTTTCCTTTTTTTGTTAATTGTAACTCAGTTTTATAACACTTTAGGTTCAGACTATTTGCAAGAGACTTGGATATAATCTGAGAAAATTCAAGCGCGATCGGTTAGGAATGGTACGTCAAGCTCCAAAAAAATTTCAAAAAGCTGACTGAGGGAAAAACGCACTTTTATGCTTAAAAACACCTGTGAAACGTGTGCGCTACATACAGCTATAATGGCGCTAAAAATGCGTTTCCGTGAGAAAACTTGCTATCGAAAAATCTGAACATATAGGAAGTGAATATATTCAACCGATCATCAGGCCATAAATCTTGTGAAAAAAAAAAAATGCATATAAGCAGAAACGATGCTGGGAAAGAGCCCTTGAATTTACTAGGAACGTGTTCTCTGGCACCATTCCAAAAGGGCTTGGAGCCCTCCAACGCGGTCGCCAATAGATGGTTTTGCTCCAGAGTGTTTTTTTTAATAATGAAAATTTTTAAATCTTTTTTTGTGAATCTATTGTACCATAACCCCTTAACTGTTTGAAAACATGAGTTCCCGCTTTGCAATGATTCTGTCACTTAGTTAACCTGTAAGCATAGATTCTATTCGAAAAAAAAAATAGTCCCATAAAAGACTAACCGGTTTGTTAAAAGCGCATTAATGTATTTCCAAATTATCGCAATAATATTCCTGAACACTTATATCAGAACAGTGCTGTCACAAGAAGTGATCAAGTGATTGATATATCTTGTGTGTCCCTAAAGTCATTGGTAACTTGACACAGGCTTGCAGAGAACTTGGTGGACTATAAGGATAGCATTTTAAATGCACACTTTACCCTTTTACATACAGGTATCACTATTGATGAGTTCGGCGTCGACTTTGAAAAAGACCAGTGGTCCAATGCCACAAGACAAGAGTTCAACCGGCGCATGCAATCCCTGATCGACTTTTATGCTAAGACATTCCAGGTATTGTGCATCACTTCAGACAAGAGTTCTTTTAGGCTAGACAATTTCCTTTCGAATGGGTGGGAAAGTCAGCTACTTCAAAGAAAAAAAAAACTTACACTAGCCATAATTTTGTTGCACAGGTCAATGGCAGCCATACCCGGAATGAAAATTTGGCAGACACCTCAGCTGCTCGGTTTTCCTTTAAGGTGAGGCACGAGGCAGCACATGTAAATTTCCACAAGCGTCTAGTCAACTTGAGACCAAAAAAATGTTCTTTCTTTTTGCCTGCAGTCGTATCGCCATGAGCAGGGACCAACCAAAGCACGTGTCTTGCCAGGCTTCGAGAAATATACTAACGACCAGCTGTACTTCCTCTCGTTCGCTTCGGTACGTGTGCGCGTCATGTTATCTAACCTTTTTTAAAAGTGCGTGGTTTTGATGGTTGTAACATAACACTATCTTCCAAAACAGATATGGTGCAACAATAACAAGTATGACCCAAACTCCATCTACAGCAACAACCATGCAAGGTAAGCATTCCCACTCTTGCAATACAGAAAACTTATCAGCACCTAAGGCCAGCATTATGATGAGAGCAAGAAATTTTTACACCACGTACTCCCTAACAGCACCACATGCATTGGCAATTATTCACTATAATACACAAACAATTGAACTTAAATAGTATTTGTAATGAAGGCTGCGATGCCATTTATGAGGACTTAACTCTGAAATTTATGAAAGACCTACCGCAAAAACACTGCCAGTGACACGTCAAGCATGCATTAGGAATAGCTGCTATAAAGAAACTGGTTTTCGCAAGGGATAAAAACTGCCATCACACATTTGTGGCCATGCAGTGTGTACTTGAGCATTTGTTTATCTGCAATGCACACTAATACTGAATCGTCTGCTATTTCCTATTTTGTTTCCATGTCTGCACATTGGCATTGTAGTGTACAACGTATCCCGAAGGAGTACAGCCACTAGTGTGGGTCCGGTCTTAGCGAGCTGCAGGGCCGTGTTAACTGTCGCCTCGCATGACTAAGGCCGCTGCACATACGCGTTCGGACATGCAAGGCGCCGAGTGCAGCGTGGCAAGAACACAGTACTGCTCTCAAACAAGTCGCAACACTTTATTGCCTGTGGCAACACTAAAACGCAGTACAGCGCCCGTTGCAAAAGGCGGCAGGAAAGCAAACAAGGCTTATGCCAACAAGGACGGAAAGTACAACACAGAGGGGTGCCGCGAGCACGTCTCCGTGGACAAAAAGGGATTCACGGTGACAAGCCGCTGAAGGAAACGAGCCCTCGCGACTATGCCCGCTGTAGAAAACAGATTGAAGATGGAGCTCGGAGGCGAGGAAGAAGAAGTAGCCAGGGGACCGCTCTGCATATTTTTTATTTCCTGTTCTGTCAACAATAAACCGAAGACGTATCGGTTCTGCGGTCTCTCTGGTCCTTCTGAAACATGGTGCCGTGACCAGGAGGATCTGAAGACAGACGCACAGACTTCAACCCCATTCGCAACAACGGGTTGAAGAACGAAGCAGCGGCGTCTGGCTCAAGGACGAACCGTCGAGAGAAGGACCACGACCGACCACTGTTGGCGACGCACATAACATGCAAGAGCTCTTTCAACACGTTTTAAGCATGAATAAAGCAGTCCTATTGAAGAAGCGGAAGACGCTTCGAGCAAATGTGACGACGCTTACGAGCGAAATCGATAAGAAGATAGAAGAAGACGCCGATCGAGCGCAACTTATGACGCTTCTAAACCAGATGAAGAGCGTGTCACAGACGTTAAGACAAGTTAACGAACAGATTGAACCGTTCATTGAAGAAGACGACGCGGAGGCGGAATTTGAAAGAGTTTTGCATTATGAGATGAAGATCGTCGCAGCAACGACAAAAATAGAAGAGCAACTGCGCGAGTTAGAACAAGCGACCCAATTGACCACAAGAATAGTCACAGAACAGGCGAGCTCAGTGCAAGGTACTAACCAAATCTCGGAGACGCAAGAGCTTGTTAGGTTGCCACGTCTTGAGATGATCAAGTTTGATGGGGAAAAAACAGCATGGCCAAGGTTTTGGCATCAGTTCAAGACATCGGTGCATAACAGAGTGAACATGCCGAAGAATCAAAAATTTAATTACCTTCTAGCGTCTCTGAGAGGGGAGGCTGCATCCCTCATAGAAGGTTTGCAGTTTTCTGATCAGAAGTACGAGCATGCAGTCGCTCTTCTGAAAGAAACCTTCGGACGAGAAGATAATTTAAAAGAGACCTACATAAAAGAGCTTGCAAACTTGAAAGCAGTGAAGAGTCCTAAAGATGTAGATGGGTTGAAGAAACTCTTCCAAAAGTTGCAAGTGAACACACGAGCATTGCAGTCATTAGGAGTGGAAATGGGTAGTTACGCCACAGTGGTAGCTCCTGTTGTAAAATCTGCGCTACCGGTGGATATGAGGATTGAAATGAAGATGAAGGAGATAGAGAAAGGTGACAACACACCAGCAACTACGGAATCGGACTCGGCGTCAAGAGACAGCACGAGCAGTTTGAAAAAAATTATGGAGTTTTTAAACATATATATACGCAGCAGAGAAGAAACTCGAGAGGAAAAATACGACGTGACCCAGTCACCGCACAGTATGAGGCGGACTAGAACATCTATGCTTCAAAGCATATCGATTAAAAGATGCATCTTCTGTGAGATGACTGGACACTACACGGAAGATTGCAGAAGAAGCATTAGTATGAAACAGAAGAAAGAAGCCTTGCAACGGGAACGAAGGTGCTTCAGATGCACCAGACCTCACCACACGGTGAAGATATGCCGCGCTAACGTACGCTGCAAAACATGCAAGGGAAGGCACGCGACATCCATGTGTCGATCACGTACGCCTGCAGGAAAGTCAGCACAGCAGCAAAGCCGTGATGTTGAGCAAGTGCGTAAAAGCGCGCAACCTGACCAGTTAGACACCAGCAAGTCCTGCAACATGCACGCACAGCAGTCTGATGAACACAAGTGCATACTACTGCAGACAGCCTTTTCGTGGACGGAGGGAGAAGACAGCGGGTGCTACGCACGGATTCTGCTGGACAACGGGAGCCAGAGGACATTCATCCTCAAAAGATTGTCAAGAAAACTAGCGTGCAAGATAAAAAGATTTGAAAGGATTACTGTAGGATCATTTGGAGGAGGAGAGATGGAACTAGACATGAAAGTCGTCGAGGTCAGCGTGAGGAAGGATCCCATCTCGGAGCCAGTCACGATTGAGGCACTGGAGATAGAAGTTATATCCTGTGACGTGCTACCAGCGCCACCGTTGACAATACACGAAAGAGCAAGATCGATGGGAATTCGTTTGGCTGGTGACAACGAGAAGATGGGCAAAGAAAGAAAAAATATGGAACCTTCTATATTAATTGGAGCAGATTATTACTGGACTGTAGTCACTGGTCGCATTCGCGAGATCCATCCAAAAGTAATGGCAATAGAAACGATGTTGGAATGGACGGTCCAAGGTCCTGTAGGACTTCATTGTGTGCCAATGAAATCGTCTACGGTTATGGTACTCAAGGTCAGTGCCAAGTCGGACACGACTGTGGACGAACTGCAGTGATTCCGGGACTTGGAAAACATGGCATCAAGGAGAAACCAGCAACAAAAATGAACGATGAACATGTGCTAGAGTACGTCCGACAAACAATAGAGTTCAAAGCAGGAATATACCAAGTGCGGCTACAACGGAAGTTTATTGTACAGTTAGCTACATCGTGGGGAGGATTTTATGAAAAACTGATCAGAAGCTTTAAGACGTCCATGGCAAAAACTATATGTGCTCGACTTTTGGATGAAGAAGAACTACGGACACTGGTTATTGAAGCAGAAGGAGTAATTAACAACCGGCCTCTTACTTATGTGTATGACGATCCTAACGAGCCACAACCCATTACACCAGCGGACGTTATAGGAGGCAGGCAAGCAATGAACAAGCAGGAAGAAAACAGACTCGGAGAATACAGTTTGCTGAATTACTGGAGTGCAAGAAAACGGGCAATGATAACATAGTGGACCAGATGAAAAAAGGAGTACCTGAGGGAGCTTAAGCGTGCCAGCAGAAAAACAGAGCGTCACACAAATGTACAAGAAGGAGATGTACTTCTGCTTGGAGATGCGCGAAAAAGAAGTCAGTGGAAACTCTGCAAGGTCGAAAAGATTTTCCCAGGCACGGATGGACTAGTGAGAACATGCTTGCTTCGTACACCCGAAGGAAAATTAGTCAAGAGGCCGATTCAACTGTTGTATTCGCTCGAAGGTTGCTTCGGTTAAATCTGGCCGGCGGGAAGATGTAGAAAACAGATTGAAGATGGAGCTCGGAGGCGAGGAAGAAGAAGTAGCCAGGGGCCCGCTCTGCATATTTTTTATTTCCTGTTCTGTCAACAATAAACCGAAGACGTATCGGTTCTGCGGTCTCTCTGGTCCTTCTGAAACACCCGCGCTCTCACGATCAGGGACAACAGGGCCCGATCGTGCGAGCGAGTGCAAACTCCACTAGGGTTGGCTTCAAGAGGTACAGGTCAGCGAAGTAGGACCACGCGCGATGACACTGCACCGCTCTTCGGCCTAGCATACGAAAGGGGCAACGAAAGGTAAGCGTTTGCCACGGGCGCAAGGCATCGTGCTCACCCTTGGTTGTGCCGAGAGTTTTCCGACTCACTCCCGACACGCGCGGGCGAATCGTCCCGAGAAAGTTGAGCGCAGCCACGATCGGCATCTGGGTGAGAGGAGTCATCATCACTACCTCTCCCCCAGTCCCGACGAACTGCAGAGGAGGGCAGTCATGTTAGGACATGAGAATGGCAGAAATAGGCGACAAAAGCCCCGCCATAGTGGCTGGCTAGCCTCAATTCCCACAATGTGCTGCTTAGATAGATATGTGGGGTTTAACATCCCAAAACCACCATATGATAATGAGAGACGCCGTAGTGGAGGGCTCCGGAAATTTCGACCACCTGGGGTTCTTTAACGTGCACCCAAATCTGAGCACACGGGTCTACAACATTTCCACCTCTATCGGAAATGTAGCCACCGCAGCCGGGATTCGATCCCACGACCTGCGGGTCAGCAGCCGAGTACCTTAGCCACTAGACCACCGCGGCGGGGCACACAGCGTGCTGCTTTTAATGTTTGATAGCCACATGTGCAACGTACTTCTGAGCAAGAACTACTTCACTACGACGAACAGGCCACCCCTGTGCACCTAATCAGCCATCAACTGTATTTTGCCGTACAAGATTGTCCATCCCACAATTATGGTGCATGATCACAAACGCCGCATCAATTCGTATATATACTGTCATCATACAGTCATCACTGTTGCAAACTTTCTTTTGGTATGTCAAAGCGTATTACCTTAGGCTAAGAAGTATGGTTTCATTGCATAATGTTCCTGCAAACATGGAGAATGTCGATGTATCACTAAAGAGCACATCGCCTACTGCCACACAACACTCAATTAAAGGCTACTTTTTGACCATACTGATAACACTATTCCACATCTTGAAAGAATTATAGTACTGTCAAGTATTACAACTTCCAAAGCACACTTAATGCCCTATCACGCAAACAAAGTAGCTAATATTTCTGCATCATGATTTCTTGAAAGGACACTAAAGACAACTATTAGGTCGATGTTTATTGTTAAAATAGCGGTTCAGAAACCTCGCAGTATTACTTTTGTGCCAAGGAAGGGCTTATTTTGAAATAAAATCACGTTGTAGTGGTATACATCGGGTCAGTGCACTTCAAATTACCCGCCTCAAGAAGCGAACCGACCGGACCGACTCGCGTCACTGTTGCCGTGCACAACGTTGCCCGGCTTTACTGCGCTAGTTGCAGCAGACCGACAGCAGCGGGAGCCACAGCAGCAACAACAGCCATTGATCAATTTCCCGCTATTGGCTCCGAGATTGCAGACATTTTTCAGCTCAACTGCGCCCCATTAGACAGCACCACCTGTCCAATGTAGCTACGCGAAAGTTGAATTTTTCAATCACTCTCGCCATTCTCCATAGTAACGTCCGGCGGTTCTTTTTTCCATTAATTAAACAGAAACGAACAAGCATAACTTTATTGCATCTCGTGATGCAAGAATGGTTCTTTATTTAGTACAGCTAGATTGATTACTAGTGATTAGTTGTAGGCAGCTCGTCTGATGTCATCGAGATCATTTTGAAAATGTGCTAATGCGGCGCAAGTGTTGTTGTGCATTTACAAGAACACTTGTAAATACTGTCCTTTTTGACGTTGTCATACACTGAGCTCTCGCGCTGTCGTAAATTGTTGTTTGACTTTAGTGTCCCTTTAATTAGCAGTGCCATGGTGAACTAGCTGATGCTGTAAATCCTCAAATCAAGACTATTCATGAAAAAAAAAAAGAACAGTTTCACAAGCCAAGCCAGCTGCAGTGATAGCAAGGTATATTATGGTCTTGCTGAGACCACCTGAGGTCACCAGCACAATGAGAATTGCTAATAGCGGTGTTGCAGTTGTCAGACCCCATTGGCGTGCAATATTAAATGGACGGACAGCTGTGAGAATTTGGCACTGCCAAAAGAAAGGATTGCATTGAGTATGCTTAGCACCTACTCTCCATCCTGCTCATACTATAATACAGTTAAAGTTCAATTTCCAGGACCCTCAAAGGACCACGAAAATGAGCGAAAAATCGGGTAGTCTGGAAAAATGAATGCATGCCAAAACGCACCTTTTTTACACATATTTTTTGCTGGTGGAGAGGCTCACAGCAGGAGTACAAGATTCTCTATGCAATCCAGCAAATTCATCGTGTAGGTGGCTCGTTTATTGGAGACAAAAAAGACGCGGCCAACGCTACCTCACTGGTCAACTCTGACTAAAATATGTCACTTATTTTATTTTCCGTGGCCTTCTGCTTGCATGTGATGTTGTTTGCCTCGATTCGGGCTGTCATGCTGTCGCTGCACACTGATGACAGTGTCATTAGAGCTCGCGTCAACTCCAAGCTCGTTCGCTGAGTAGGTGCTGCCTCTTCCATTTCTGTGTCCGAGTCATCAGAATCCTCCGTAACGCGACGAATGATTTTGCCATCACTCATTTTCGCTCGCAGCTCTAGGTCTTAGTCAGCGGCGGCAGAGCTCTCAATGGTTATCCCAGCTGGAATAGAAACGCCGGAAGCGCACAGATTGTCGAAGGTAACGCCCATGGACAGAAGTTTGTCACACACGCTGTCTACTCCAGGCATGGCAGCCGACTCGGCATCAGGTCTGAAACCTGCGTGGCGGCTTTCTTTTCAATGGCAAGTCTACGAGGGGGATTTGTGGGCTTCGAAGGAGCGCACGAAGATGAAGGAGCAGTCGGCGCCATCGCTGTAAACGGCGAATCGCTTGACGAAAAGCGCAGCAAACAGCTATAAACTTGGTGGATGCTGAAGATCAGGAAACATGAACGCTGAAGATATTGTGCAGCATCACATTGTCTACCACTGAGCTGACAGAACATGTGAACGAACACAGTGAGGTTTGACCACAGCTTTTATGAAGCTACGGCTGGCAACGAATTGGCGTTCACTAGAATGCGGCAATTGCGGTTTCGAGAGTACGGCAGCCGAGGTGCAATGCTGCTGGTCACACCCACGGCCTCCTCCATTGGAAAAGGTCGTGTTCACACCTGCAATGCTACGAGTATGGTGGGTTCGTGGGTACGAAGACAACCAAAATGGCGGTGTTGACGGTGACTTCAAGCCCGCGGTTAATGGTAAAATTTCCAAAAAATCTAATGATAAAGACTAAAACATCCGAAATATCGGACTTTTTAATACATTGACTCTATGTGGAACTTGACGGTGCCACACATGAGTCCGGGAAATCAGGCATGTCCAGAATTTCGGGCGTCCGAGAAATCGGACGTCGTCTGTATCCACAACAATGCAGGGCGCATAGAAACGCAGAGCAGTCTTGTGTGCACACAGTGTGAACAAAGAAATCAATCACTGCCCTAGCTCACAAAGAGACTTTGAATGCAACTTGATTATGTACCTCTACTCGCAGGGTCAATGGACCACTGATGAACTTGGACGAGTTCGCAGAGACCTTTCAATGTTCCCGGGGAAGCAAGATGAACCCAACGCAGAAGGCTCCCGTGTGGAATGTCTAAAAGCCCACAACTGTTTATACGGCCCACTTATGCAACTACCTCAGCATTTACACACACACTTACATAGGACGAACAAACTTCCTATGATAATGTTGCAGTTTGTGCGTGATGTTAGTGTCATGTTATAATGACAGTGCATTTCATTTCAGAACTATTTAACCAATTTCAAATATGTGTGTGCTCCTCTTACGAACTAAGAAAAGCCCTGTGTTTTTTTATTAGCAAAACAAAACAAGTTTACTACACCCTTGAAGGCCTTTACAGTATTCCATAAACCAGTTGAGTGGATGTAGGTACCTATTCGAGTGATTGGAACAAGCTTTTTTGTATATAGCAGATAAAGACCATGCATCACTTCACAACATCACAGCACACTTCTTTATTATTTATCTATTTTCATTTTCATACTTCACAAGTCATGAACATATGATGGTCCCCATATGATGTTATGGTTAGTAAAAATAATAATATGTACAGAATGGAAATAATAAAATATTTTACATATTCACACCTGTTGTCTCTGCCTCTGCAGCAACAATGAACAGCTGTCAAGTTATCAGCATGGTTCCTTTCCCGATTCTGCTGATGTCACCTGATAGGAAAGCAAGACAACAAAAAATATGAAAACAAAACATAAGCAAAACCAAAAGCATTCCAAGTAGCTATGGTGAACCACAACAAAACTACCGAGACCAGGATAATAAGAACAGAAAACTGCTTGCTATATCTTCAACTTTTGTGTGAATGCAAGTATTCATCTAGGGAAGTTTTTATTGATTGTATTTCTCAAGTTCAAAATATATATATGTTTGCGTTGTGCCATTATGCTCGTACTAAAGCCCATCATAGCAGATTAAATGCAATATTTTAAGCAGGTTACAATCACACAAACTGATGAAAACGTAAAATAATATAGAATGCATAATTATATTTAGCAAGAAGCTCAGTAGTGGCCTAGAGAAAGCCACACAAAATGTACAAAATGACAACAGTAATGCGATAATGAACACTTTCAGGGTAGGCCACACACATAATATGTTGTGTACTTTAAAGGGGCCCTGCGACACTATTTAAGCACATATTTTTTATCGGTTCTGCTGGTGCTGTGAAACGCGCCAATATTGTTGCACACATGTCAATGCCGAAATCGACGCAGTTATAATTTTGATTGACGGGACAAACTACCTTGATTTCAGACTACGGCGACACACATTGGCTATTTTTGTTATGGGAAGTGACGTCGTGTCATGTGACCTGACGACAAACACCGTTCAATTTTGATTGGCTTGACGTGAGAAATAGTGTGCAATATTGATATGGTGGTAGCTAGGCCATACGAGCAAATGCTAAAAACAGCAAAAACCTTTTTTTATACTTTCTCAGAAAGAAACAATTCCTGTTTCGAAATGATGTATTTTCCGAACAACGAACACAACACTTAGCCTGCCAACAAGGCTATGGTGCGCCGGCAACTAAAAGCGGAAACGCATGCCGCGTTTTTAACGAGCCAAAAATGCAACAGGCGCTGAGCGCGGGCGTTGCTGTAGAACACTTTTTGCATCCAAGCCGAGAAGTGACCCCGCCCAAAGCGTATGTGTTATCTTATACAGCGTGACCGTGGGAGCATCTGCTACCCGACGCACGTGGTTCGTAAGAGAGGTAGCAAGGTATTGTGTGAAAGCACCATGAGGCGACGTTTCCGGAATGTCTTTATGAGACGCGTGCTGTGGTTGAAAGCGGTCTGTGACATCAGCAGGCGTGTAAAATGTGAAAGGGAATGTTTCTCATCGTTGTCTGCTCGAATTTTGAACTTTGAGCACTCATAACTTCACTTTCGTGCACCAATTTCCATCATTCCTGTTGCATTCATCTGCGTAGTCATCCCTACGCGCGTTTTAGTGCTAAATAAGGCTGTCCCAAAAGTGTCGCAGGGCCCCTTTAAAGAGACTTAAGAGAAAACGGTTTTGTGCTTACTAGTAAATTACCATTTCACAATACCGAGAATACCACTTTTGCTGCTAGATCACACTTGGTAAGCAAGAAAACACACCAGAAGAAAATGAAAATATCCGAGGCAATGCAGTCTACATATTCCCACACAGAACTCGGCGACGCTATAGACTTAGATGTCATTTACAAGGTCATTTCTAGTTTTTGACTGTTAAAAATGACATATATCATTATCTGAGGATGCCATAGAGTTAACAAACTAAGTGTCAGAAAATTTCATTGAGTGTGGCAGTGCCTGAAGAAATGACGAATGCTAAAATCGTTTAACAGCCACTAACGAAGGGGACGGCGTAGACGACGGCGATGACGAACCACCTCGAGAGGTGCCGACATCTTCTAAGACAAAAATTTGCTGTGTTCGCTTCAAAATAAGGTCGAGTGCAGCAGCGGGGAAGAGCAACTGATGTGATGCGTCAAGCAGCCGAGAACAGCTTCCTAGACCCGAGTACGACTGCAAAGCAGACGAGCATTAGGCATTTTTTCTCTGCTGAATAAAATGGCAGTGAGGCAAAACCCAGCCGGTTAAAGTCTCTTGTACATTATTTTTTTCTCTTTTAAACCTGCACGAGAAGAAAGATTAGAAACTGCCACTGAAGAGCTGGTAAGGAGTAGTGATTTTTCCGAAAAGCACTCATTTTTCCCGGCAATTAGCACAAATTTGCTTATTTCAAAAATCCGTTTATCTCAAAATTTTCCCTGGTTTTAACGACTTTGAGTTAACTACGTCTTACTGTATAACAATTGTTGGGGTTTAACATCCGGGAACCACCATTTGATTATGAGAGACGCCGTAGTGAAGAACTCCGGAAATTTCAACCACCTCGGTTTCTTTAACGTGCACCTAAATCTAAGCACACAGGCCTCAAGCCTTTTCGCCTCCATCGAAAATGTGGCCACCGCAGCTGGCATTCGATCCCGCGACCTGCGGGTCAGCTGCCGAGTGCCTTCGCCACTAGACCACCGCGGTGTGCCTTTTTCCCGCCATCTTTTTAAAACACTATGAATAACAGGAGACAACATTGCTGAATAAAAGAAATGACAAACTTGTCAAAGCAATGCTGTAGGCTTTCCAATACAAGCTGTAGAGGCTTTAGCCCTGGTATGCATTCATTCTACAAGAAGCCTGGCCCCGCCGGTCGCGAGATCAACTCCCGGCTGCGGCGGCTGCATTTCTGATGGAGGTGGAAATGTTGTAGGCCCGTGTGCTCAGATTTGGGTGCACGTTTAAGAACCCCAGGTGGTCAAAATTTCCGGAGCCCTCCACTACGGCGTCTCTCATAATCATATGGTGGTTTTGGGACGTTAAACCCCACATATCAATCAATCATAAGCCTGGGGCGGTGCTAATCCTTGTGATGCTTGTGCTTTCTATAACAGCAGACAGAGTAACATGCTCTGGCATCACTGCCCTTGTGAAAGCGCATGTTGGAGCCATAAAGTTCAAAATAATGTAGTTCAAGTGTCACGTTTCATTATGCATACACAAGGACGCTGCTGACACAGTCTTGGTGAGCCTAGTAAATAGGGCAACACTGCAGACAACTAGCAAGGGGAGGGTAATTTGCAGTACCAAAGCATAACATGGCAGTATTAGGCAAACTGCTGCTGGAGTATGCAAAACTTTTCTTCACTGCTTGAGATGTCATAGACATATCGCTCACTCTTGTTGCAATGCCAGACTAAAATTGAGAAGGCAAGGAATCAAAGCACAATGGTTTGGAGTACTAAATAAAAAATAGCATTCAATGTAACGTTACAGAAGTGCAGCAAAAAAATCCGTACTCTGTTTCTTCTGTCATGGTATGGTAGTTAGTAGTATCTCTTACCTGCATGCATCCACACGCCAAAGTGACAAGAGAGAAGGAAGGGCAAGAAAGTTAACAACAAGACGGCACTGATTAGTCAGCAAGCAATAAGTGAAGAAAACAGACCCGGCCCAATAGAAACAGCACATACAGAAACAATAATGAGGCGACATTGATGAGTTAGTACTGAGGCCAATGCGACCCAGCCAATTTTTGAGACATGCCATGATATGTCTAATATTAAGGAGATGCAGAAAAGTTGAGCACAAAGAAAGCTGGAATCTGTAAAAAGCATCACAGATCGACAAACACTAGACACAGAATGTCGAAAGGTGAAATGACGCACACCGGGAAAACAACACACACTGCCGCTCAGCACAGGTACCTGAGGACACAGGCAGGTCGCTTGCGGCCATTCGGGATAAAGCCGCGGGCCCTGAGGCGGCGAACAGCTTCGCGCAAGTGCTTGGGCTGCAGAGGCCCAGTCTCTCCTTGCTTCTCGAGAACATCAAGTGCTTCCTCCACCACTTCACCCACAAACACCTTTGCGATGCCAGACACCGCAATAACAACGTTCTGGGAGACTGAGCAGCCAGTGATGGACTGGACCAGCCGCTTCACCGCGGCTTTCGGAAATGCTGAACGCCTGTACATCTCGTACCTGCGTGAAGAGAAAGTAATGAACTGTAACCCTGACAATGAGACTAGGGCAATAAAACAGTTGGTTGGAAGTGTAAATAGATATGAATTAGCAGAATGATAAAGCTGATACATGCAACACACCAGCACTTTTCATTAACTACCTAGCATGCACTAAACTCCGGTCAACACACCATAGTCACTATGTGAATCCCACGCTGTAGCAGAAAAACTGACAGTAGAAGCGATACCCTCTTATTTACAGGAAATAAGGATGACTCCTGTCCAACATGCCTGAAATACAATTGATAATATTATATGGTAATATAATTGACGATTAGTAGCATGTTCAAAGTATGAGTGTTTCACACTAGCAATGTGAGCTTGAATACTAACTTATAAACAATAAAAGCAGAACACGACATTGCTGCATAAGGACCTCCTTTAAATTTCCATTATTGATAGAACAACTTAATACACTAATATCAACTTACAGAAGATGACAGTTAGAACACAGTGGTAATTCAATTGTATTTGTACTAAACCAGCGCTGCAGGTGACATACCGTAGAATACCGATGACGTGAGATATTAGCTTTGAAGAGCCCTGACATCAAGACTGAAAAAGCCAATTTTACGCTAACGGACTCATGGGTCGACTCACTCGGGCTTAGGTAAAGCCATGAGTCTGAGTGAGTCTGGCTGAGTAATATGTCGATCTAGAAAAATTTCAATGAGTCCAAGCGTGAGCGAATCCTCAAAACAAAACATATTCATTGAGTGATTCTGAGAGTGTTCCAATTTTTCTGCCAACCTATCATCATGACAGTTATAAAAATGCCAGGGCTTAGGTTTGGATCATTCTCACATTGTGTCCTTCCCATGCTGCTTCGTCAAATATCATGGCTCATTAACTAGCACACCAGAACATTTAAAAACATGGTTGATCCCTCCATCATAAGGACCGGTAAAACATGAAAGAAAAATGTGTGCTTACAGAAGTAGTTCAATGTTTGCTGTACATTGACATAAAAGAGCCTGGGTAACGTCTATTGGTACTTGGCAGCTATAGCACCGCTTTAACGTGGATGCATCTACGTGGACGTTTAATCATGCATCTCTATCCCAATGACTAACACCGATCACTAGTGATTAAACAAACCCTTGTGGTCATAGATGCTTGCAGTAGCTGTAGTAGTTAACGGTGAAAGCAGAACGAGAGAAAGCAAGGCGATAGCCAGGAAAGCACGACTGATTAAATGCTAAACTTAGGCCATGGTCGCCTACTCGCTGAATGTTGGTGATTATGAACACCACTGCCCAGTCACGTGTTGTGCTTCCAGAGGAAAACGCAACACGTGTCTTGTTTTCTCTTTCACCATCCACGATTATTTGTGAAAAAGCAAACGTCAGGTATGTGGAGTTACGGCCGCACTTGCCTTGCAAAGTGCTCGCGCTTCGCAAAGCTATTTTGGTATGAGTGGATGTCATGAGCGAGGCTGTTGCTGTAAAGCCCCTGATAGAATGCTGGAGGTAAGGTCACAACCTGATCGTCTGTTAAGGTGTTCACGAAATTCTACTTTCCTATTGGAAATGCACTAAATGGGAACGATGCTTGGAAATGACTCGTTCAAAGAACTAATTGCGGAAGCCACAGTAGTGATGCATTAGTGCACTTTACCAAGAACTCTGTGGGAGGACAGTGGTAGATATAAAAGGCAAATTCTTTAATGTTTACAAAGTTTATAGCTGTGGCCCAGTGGATAGCGTGCCTTGCATTTGTTGTCACAGACCCAGACGTCATGGGCCTGCCTTCTGTTGACAGGGTTTTTTTTTTTCCTTGCCTTCTAACTGTGCGTTTTTTTATGTCATTTTTGTGTTCAAATGAAGATGGAAGAAAACTCTCACCTGTTCAACTGGGCTTCCGAGAAATTGGATACAAGAACCTGCATCTTCTCGCGCTCTTCTTCTTCAATCTGCTCCCTTGTCTTGCTAGGTGCCGGCTGGCTATCTGATCCACCGGCAGCACCTTCAACTCTCCGCGAAGCAAGGCTCGGACCCGGAGTGTGACTTACAGACTCCTCGAGCATCTGAAGGGTGATCTCGTTTTCTGGGGAGTCTGGCACCTTTGGCTCGTCTTGGTCGTGGTCCTGTTCGTGATCTTGTTCATTGTCATGGTCATGATCGTGTTCAGTGTCATCGTGGTCCAGATCAGCTTCCTGATCATCAACGTTGGCTGCATTGTCCTTGGCATCCTCGTCACTTTTCGCCTGGGACAGGTCACCTCCTAGAGAACACACATAATGAAGAACACCGATAGCATATCAGTACACCGGATTATCCGACTCTTTATGAAAGGTCAGGACGTGTTATTTATGTCCGTTAACTGCCCAACTGGGAAGGAAAGAGGCATTTGCGCGGGCGCTACGTTCAAATTATTCTGCATGAAAGGAGGTGCATATAGGCCACTATAACTGGAACTCGGGCTGATTATTCGTGTGTTCCGCCGCCGAGACCTGGGCGCGCCAGGGGTTGCTCACATACAACAAACATTTGATCTCCGCGGCTGCAGACAATCAATCTTAAACCACACTGTCCTGTCACCTTATTCCGGTCACCTTATTGTAACTTTAAACGTTCTCTTAAGATTCGGCAACAGCCATTAAACCCCGCAGGTCAAAATCCATCAGGCCCTTCCTTTGTTGTTGTTATTATTGTTTCTGCTGTTGTTCAGTTGAATCACAACGCGCGAAACGCACAACACGCAACTTGTAGTGGAGAGTTAGGAACAAGAAGACCTCAAAGCACCGAACGAGCGCACGCATTACGCTTTGTCAGTCCGTACGAGCTGCTTCGTTACCTAGTGTTAACTATTCCAAACGAGAAACGGGTCCCTTAGAGGTTGGAAGATGTTTTACCTGTGCTGTCGTCGGGAAACGCTGGCATCGTGGATATTGTCGACAAACGTCAAGAAACGATGCGAAATTTGTCACAGCCAAAGGGCAGCCAGCGTGGAGGAGTTCGCGAGCGTAGTTTATTACCAAGGGTGATGCTCAGAGTGGAAAAGCTCCGAAGAACGACGATGCGAGCCTCCACATTTCCAGCACGGGCTGCACCATGTTTTGAGCGCACTAGCGACGCATGCGGTAGAAATGTACGGTACCATACTGGTAGGCATGACCTACTACACTCCTGACCTGCCCAGAGAGCACCTCTTCCAGCGCCCACGTTCTAGTTCATACCTTCTGCCGCTAGGGCCGTAACTTAGGAGCACTGTGGCGCTAGTCAGCACCTGTTCGCTGACGTCAGCTTGAGTGTTCGTGGTCATATTTCGGCCAACAGAGCACTCATATTGCGTAATTATTATGCACTAATGAAAAATAATTTTGAAACAAATATTTCAAAAGTCATTCACAAATTCTTTGCAATTAAATGGACGCAACATCACATATGCTGTCCTACACTATGTAAGTCTACGGATTCTCGCATTTGTCCACCAGTGTGCAATAAATTTTTCGTCACACTGAACAGCTTACTTGACCAGTCATCTAAGTGAAAAAATAGTCACATATATGCCGGCTGTTCATCACGGAATGCAGCCGTTCTTACTCTAGCGCCGTCCAAACAGCCGTAAAGTAGCAGACGAACAGGTTATAGGTAGCGCCACCTACGGCGAGCGATTGAACGAGAGCGGGGACACGCGCTCCCATAGGAACCCCGCTATCTGAACAGGTCAGGAGTGTAGTAGGTCATGCTGGTAGGCATTCTGTGGTACCATTTCCTTCCAACCATGGCCTCTGCAACCATGAGCTTCACAACCGATGAAGTTTCCTAGAAACATCGAGTTTCATACAATAAAATTATTGCATGAAACTTTATGTCTGGGAAACTATGATTTAACTCAAGGTCACGCTGCCCTTAAAAGCATTGACGGAATCAATTGCGGAGGCCACGTTCGAACCACTATCTTTTTTTCAATTTGTTCGCTCATGTGTTGTCAAAAAGTTATGTGCTTTTAAACTAAATAACAAAAGTCTAAACATTTTTTGCTGAGTATGAAGCTGACAGTCTGTACCACAAAAACAATGGAAACGCACAAACAATATGGTCAAGATATATTTCAGGTTGCTCTTTGTAAACCTTATAAACAACAAGAAATATAAATATTTGTATTGTTTGTTGTTAAATAATAATTTTTTTAAGCGGGCATTATGTGAAACAATTTCATTGATGGCGAGATGCCAACATCGGTCAGGCAACCCTGATATTGTTTATACTGGCGGCTGTTGGCCGTCGCCAAAAACTTGTGTGCATCTTCTTACTATGTTTCTCGTCACAAGCGAGTTTTCATAGTTCCTGCTGCGTTTTCGAAAGTTCGGAAAACTCCTTGCAGCGAGCAATCGACACGGAACGCTAAACATCGTAGTTGGTCGTAATGGCGACGACATCGAAACGCATCGTCTACGTTGGAGGACTCGCGGAGGAAGTCGACGAAAAGGTGCTGCACGCCGCTTTCATACCGTTCGGCGACTTGGTAGACGTGCAGATTCCGCTCGATTACGAGACTGAGAAGCACCGTGGTTTCGCCTTTGTGGAGTTCGAGAGCGCGGAAGACGCTGCTGCGGCCATCGACAACATGAACGACTCGGAGCTGTTCGGCCGAACCATTCGCGTCAACATCGCCAAGCCGATGAAGATCAAGGAAGGTTCTACGAAAGCAGTGTGGTCCGAGGATAGCTGGTTGCGACAGCACGCCGGTGAAACTCTCAACACCAAGGAAGGCGACGAAGATTCGAAGGAAGGCGAGGAAGCCGAAGCGCAGAGCGACGACAAGGAGGTCGGCGAGAAGGCGAAGAAGTCGGCCAATCCTCAGGTGTACCTCGACATCAGCGTCGATGGCCAGGAGATCGGAAGGATCCGCATCATACTCTTCAAAGACGTGGTTCCTCGCACGGCGGAGAACTTCCGTTGCCTGTGCACGCACGAGAGGGGATTCGGCTTCATCAAGAGCACCTTTCACCGCATCATTCCGGGATTCATGTGCCAGGGCGGTGACATCACGAATCACAACGGCACAGGCGGCAGGTCAATTTATGGCCGCAAGTTCGACGACGAAAACTTCGAACTCAAGCACACCGGTCCGGGAATACTGTCCATGGCCAATTCGGGTCCCAACAGTAACAGCTCCCAGTTCTTTCTCACCACGGCCAAGACAGACTGGCTCGACGGGAAGCACGTTGTGTTTGGACAGGTCATCAGTGGCATGGAGATCGTCAGAAAGATGGAAACGTACGGTTCTTCGTCGGGCAAGGTGTGCAAGAAGGTCGAAATTTGTAACAGCGGCGAATACACGTAGTTATGCTTCATAAGATGATTGTGCGTTTTTTACCATGTCTGTGCTGTGTTTGCTCAACACTGACATTTGTAACAAGTGAGATTGAAATCATTTGCACCTGCACTATAAAGAATGTTGTAAAGTTGTTTACATTGTTTTACCGTCAAGGTAAACTCTCTCATACTCACGAGGGGAATTGACCACACTTTCGATCATAAAGACAAATGAGTGAAAAATAGATAAATATCGAGTGGGTTCATTAAATGAGGTTATTGCCTCACGAATCGACTGCCGGAAAGGTTCTTAGGATTCGTCACCGGAAGCTTGAGCGATGGCACAAGGGAAGGAAGCTACAGCACTCGTCACCACTTTGAGGTACTTTTTTTTTTTTTTTTTTTTGAACGCACGGCTTACTTTGCAGTATGACCGGTGGCACGTGGTGGCCTTTGTAGCTAGGGTGCTCAACTCGGCTAAGGAACGTGAATTGGAGTCTGTCTATGGCGCGATCATTTGCGTATCATTTCCAGAAAGAGGAGCAACAATTTTTACCTGACTGAAAATTAATTTTATATTCCACGGATGGATGGATTGATGCAGCTGTACCCACGGAGGAAGGAAAGGTTTCCTTCCCCCATGGGCTGTACCCTTTAGATCGGGCGGTAGCTAACGTCACCTAGCCGCAATCCAGGCCGCGTGGTGCAGCGGCTTTTGTTAAGGGCCTTTTTGAGTAGAGCGGAGTGGCTATGAAAAGAGAAAAGAAGAGAAAAGCGAGCCCCGTTATTGTCTGCTTCAAAGAGCGACACCGCCACAGTAGCTCACGAGGGATGGGGGTGAGGAGGGATAAAAAGGATAGGAGTAAAGATGTGGGAAAGCCGAAGAAGGAGAAGAGAAGAAGAGACGTGTGGTAAGCCACAGCGAGCGAGGACAAATCGAGGGGATAGAAGAAATAGGAAAGATGGAGCACGGTCACTGGAGTCCGAGGACGGGGCGCACCTGCGAGAGCTCCTTTCGGCGTCGGTGGATGGCGTAGAACAAGTCCAGTAAGTCAGAGCTGCACTGTCGTCGGAGGTGGAAGGTCGTCGGCGGCAGGAGATGACGTAGGGCGAGTCCAGTCGGCCAGAGCCACGCTGACGCGGGAGATCGCAAGCGCGCGGAGCGCGCGAGCGCACGACCGGTCAGCTCGAAATCCAGCAAGCGAGTCCTTTGAGTAGAGCAATACTAAAGGTTATGTTCATGTTCGCCTATTAGGTGCGGTGCATATCCACTGTGGGGGATCGGCCAATAATTAAACGTTGTGCAAGATCAAAAAGAAAGGATGAATAAAGGCGACGTAAGGTACAGAAACAGTTGAAAGATTTAAACAGAAAATTGTTTCCTATGTTCGTAAGCACTAGCACTACAATCTTGCGGATGATTCAATGAATTTGTGCAGCGGACCCATTTCAATTGTAAAGCTAGCTTTCCTGCGATGCAGTTTGTCCGACTAATGGCGGTTAGTCGACCTGCAAACAGCTTGTACAAGTGCTTGCTCTGCGAGGCGGAAAATATCCCTAGTGCGCGCATCTAGAGTCTCGCGTTCACTTGAAGCAGAACAGCCCATTACCGCCATTAGTCTGGCGAATGTGCAGCGCGGGGAAGCGCACTTGCGGATTATAAAAAAAAAAGGGGGGTCTGAACAGCTTGCACCAAAGTGATATATTTCCAACGACAACATGTTTGAAGTAAACAATATTGAATCAAGTTTGCCACTAGACATCTAAAGAAAAAGTCTGTGGAGTGAGGCAAGACGACAGCACGAGAAAAAATTGACAGAATTTCCCTATTGGCGCCAAGCGTGAAGGAAAGAAGTGGGCAGCCATCTTTGCTTCTCTTCGGTATTAAGTTTCTTTCCACCTCTTTCTTCTGTTTTCAGGTTTATGGCATTTCAAGTTTTATTCCTATATTTTCGTTTTTTTTTCTATTTCCATTTTTCGTTTGCTTCTTTCAATTCTTACCTTGAACTGGTATAGCGCATTACGGGGAAGAAGAAACGGCTGAGCATACCGACACAAGAGGACAGAGCGCTCTGTCCTCTTGTGTCGGTCTGCTCGGCCGTTTCTTCTTCCCCGTAATGCGCCATACCAGTTCAAGTACGACGAACCAACTCGCCCAATCTTCAACATTCGTGCAATTCTTACCGTCTGTTTTGTTGTATTTCCCTTGCCATAGTAATAATTTCCGCGCTTTATATCATCATCAAGGCACTCGATGAGCAACAGGAAGAAGGCTTCTCTTTGAGGCGAGAGTGTGTTCATTGTGCTGGAACTGGCTATCCTAAATGTGATTTCGCCTGTATACGACTGCACCCCCCCCCCCTCTCCCCGACTGCTGTTTCCGGTTTGTGGCAAATTGTACCGAGGTTAGTTAGTGATGATAAACCAGATTTGTGATGGTGAACTTTTAACCTGGGAACTATACAGCGGAGAGTGAAAGGCATGTATAGAGTGTTCCACGAGAACTGCGGAGTTCCGGTAATCGTCATATTGCATTTTGTTTACTTCCATTTTCTTGACAAGTGTCTGACAGTGTAGTTTCTGTACGCACAACACGAAAGCAGGACAAGTATCGTGACGAATGCGATTTACCAGGTACTCGCGTTTAAATGCCCACGTGATTCCCGCGTCAGTAAGCGGTGAGCTGAGGGAAACGCGCAGAGAACAGCGAAAGATCTGCAACACACGACCGTGCCGCAAAACGTGCAGAAATTTCTTCGTGCATATCAATTTATATTTGCGACGTAAGCGT